TTTGTAAATTTAATTACGAGCTCATCGATGTATAGCATTCCATATTCGGACCATTATTTTTAATGTTTTGTCGAAAAATCGGATTATTTTGTGACGGAAAATCGGAAAAACGACTTTTGTCAAAAATTCGAAGTTTACTAAGGGTTATTTTGTCATAACTAGGCTAAAAAAGGTCACAAAACTAAAACAATAACCGTTTTACAAAGCTTTTTATCAATACTAACGATTCTTATCACTTTTTGGCCGACTAAGCGAAATTAATTTTTGGGCCAATTTTCGCATTTTTGGCAAGGGGTAACATCATCAAAATTTACAAAAAATGGCAAAATTTTAAGATTTCAAACTTAAACGCCAAAAGTTTGTAAATTTAATTACGAGCTCATCGATGTATAGCATTCCATATTCGGACCATTATTTTTAATGTTATGTCGAAAAATCGGATTATTTTGTGACGGAAAATCGGAAAAACGACTTTTGTCAAAAATTCGAAGTTTACTAAGGGTTATTTTGTCATAACTAGGCTAAAAAAGGTCACAAAACTAAAACAATAACCGTTTTACAAAGCTTTTTATCAATACTAACGATTCTTATCACTTTTTGGCCGACTAAGCGAAATTAATTTTTGGGCCAATTTTCGCATTTTTGGCAAGGGGTAACATCATCAAAATTTACAAAAAATGGCAAAATTTTAAGATTTCAAACTTTAAACGCCAAAAGTTTGTAAATTTAATTACGAGCTCATCGATGTATAGCATTCCATATTCGGACCATTATTTTTAATGTTATGTCGAAAAATCGCATTATTTTGTGACGGAAAATCGGGAAAACGACTTTTGTCAAAAATTCGAAATTTACTAAGGGTTATTTTGTCATAACTTGGCTAAAAAAGGTCACAAAACTAAAAGAGTATCCGTTTTACAAAGCTTTTTATCAATACTAACGATTCTTATCACTTTTTGGCCGACTTAGCGAAATTAATTTTTGGACCAATTTTCGCATTTTTGGCAAGGGGTATCATCATCAAAATTTACAAAAAATGGCAAAATTTGTAGATTTCCAAATTTGAACGCAAAAAGTTTGTAAATTTAATTACGAGCTCAGCGAGGTATAGCATTCCATATTTGGACCATTATTTTTAATGTTATGTCCAAAAATCTGATTATTTTGTGACGGAAAATCGGGAAAACGACTTTTGTCAAAAATTCGAAATTTACTAAGGGTTATTTTGTCATAACTAGGCTAAATAAGGTCACTAAACTAAAAGAATAACCGTTTTACAAAGCTTTTTGTCAATACTAACGATTCTTATCACTTTTTGGCCGACTTAGCGAAATTAATTTTTGGGCCAATTTTCGCATTTTTGGCAAGGGGTAACATCATCAAAATTTACAAAAAATGGCAAAATTTTTAGATTTCCAAATTTGAACGCCAAAAGTTTGTAAATTTAATTACGAGCTCAGCGAGGTATAGCATTCCATATTTGGACCATTATTTTTAATGTTATGTCCAAAAATCTGATTATTTTGTGACGGAAAATCGGGAAAACGACTTTTGTCAAAAATTCGAAGTAATCTCCATGATCCACAAACCTGACGAGCCAGAAAGGGAGCCCGCCTCCTACCGGCCGATCAGTCTTCTCCCTTCAATTTCCCGATCTCATTTGACTGGCAGACGCCTCAATAAAGCTTTAAGAAAAAAAAGTATTATACGGATAATCTTCAAGGCATTTGTGATAATACTTAATAAGATTTGAACTTTGCTTAGCAAAATCAAACGATTCAGATTTTAAGTACAATGTTATGTTAAATCCCTCTTTTCGTATCCATGGAAACATAATACCCCTTTAGTGGATAAGCATTAAAACAAGAAGAAAACAATTGGTGATACCCTGCAGCATTGCGACAAAATGTTGCGCCAGGGTCAGGGTTCACATAAATGTTTTTTGTATTTCATTTTCCGTTTTTTTTTGTAAATAAACCGAGAAAAATTATGTTTTCAACGCTTCTGCCCGTCGTGCTGGCAAAGCTGAAACAATGTTTCGCATTGTTGAAAGGCAAATCCAAAAGAGCAAAAGGGGCAATGGAAGCCGAACATGAAAGCTGGTCCGGCCTGAAGCGCCATTAGCCATGGCCGAAACGGTGGCGGAAGGCTGAAAGGCAAGCCAAAAACCAAATCCTTTTTCAGAGTTTTTCACATTTTTTATGCAGCGCCAAGGGGCTTTCTTTTATTCATTTTTCGCATATTTTTTGCCGGCCAACTAAGCTGTTCTAATCTGTTTGTCGTTGGCCATCGGCTGAACATGGCTCTCAACCCATTTGAAACGCATATAATTTTTTTGTTTTTGTTGCACCCCTTCAAATCTCTTAATTCAACATTCAATGATGTTGATGATGATCTTAGTCGGGATTTATGGGCTGACTCTAAGCTCAGCTTAATTGCTTTTGGCCCGAACAAATGGCAGGTAATATCTCAGGACACCTTGAGCATTTCGACTGTTTCGTACTGACGTCACACGGAGAGGGCCAACAAACGTGGCCAGCTTTTGACTTTTCACTTGTCTTTCACCCGAACGATCAAGTGTAAATAAACAAATGTATGAAAATAGAACTGGAAGTGGGGAAAATCGATTTCAATGCTCGCAATTAATGGAAGGTAAAAACGCCATAGAAAATGGGAGAAAAACGTGAGTTGTTTTATAAAACTCATAATCAAAACAGAGTCAACAACATTCACCAATAAATGTAATGCGGGTCATAAACCTTTGAAACCTTAACTTGTATACACAGAGAAAATGTCTTAAACAACAATTTGCTTATTAAGAAAACCAAACAATTATTTGTTATAGCCATAAATGGCTCATAAACACGAGTATTCTTAAATAATCATGTATTGTTCCCCAAGCTCTGAAACTAAAATACGAAAACCTTATGAAAACCTAACACCTTTCCCAATTAAATCAACCAACACTTACTATGAGATTTTGAACGGTGAAACAGTTAAAAGGAATCCATATCTTTTGCTGTTTACAAAGGTAAAGTTATGGTTTTAAATAAAATATGAACTCGGCTGTGAGCAAAGGCGCCAGTCCCTCGCAAAGATGTATAAAAGTTTACTACTTTGGAGGACGAAAGGGTCCACTCTTGGCCGGGGTTTTAATCAAAGTAAATGAATTTAAACGAAGCGACGAACAAAGTCCAGCGGCTATTTGCATAGAGCCGTCGCACTGGAATGGGTTTTAAGTGAAAAAAAAGGATGCGAATGGCATTGGGCGGGAAAAACTGAAAGGGAAGTGGAGATGTGGGGTGAGAAGTAATAGGAAAAGCTAGGCAAAAGAGTGAGCGAAACGCTTTTCCGTGTCTGAAGTTGGTTTTCTTTATTTTATTTGCGCGGGGATTTGTCTAGCTGGAGAGGATAAGCGCTCTGTGTATCCTAGATCCTTTGTGTTTGCATGAATTTAATGCAATCCAAATATTTGTGGGCGAGAGTGAGAGTTTCGTTTCTGCCTTTTTTCGCTTTTTCCCATAGCATTTTCCTTGTTTTCTGCTCCATGTTCGGCTGCTTTCCGCTTTGTAAATGGCTTTTTATGGGCTTACTGCCGGATGGCTTTTGTGGGGAATTTAAAGCTTCGTTTCATAACCCTTTGCATGGTAATGGCATGCAAATATCTATTTATATGTCCTGACAGGCATGTATCTATAAACTTCAGCTGGCGAGTATTTTAAAAATATTCCTTAACATCTGCATAATCATAAGTGTATTCGGGAGAAGTAAACATTCGTCATACTGACTAATGAACTGCCTTCCAGCCTTTTAGGGCACATGGCATTCATCAGGGCGTAGGTGGAAACCAATTAGCACTGACATTACCTCAGCTGGTGTTTCCATAATAATTTTCTCAATTAATGTGCAGATTTCTATTTTCTGCCGAATATCAAAATTCGACTTGTGCTATTTTTGGATTAGTCCGAAAAAATATGGTTTCGGCACACGCCATATCCCTTATATCCACAAACCAGAACATTAATCATCCAGCAAATTAGCATTCGCAAAAATTCAACGCAATGTGGCGCAAAAACTTGCGATTTGTTTACCATAACTTGACATAGATCATAGAGAATAGGCATGTGTTGGCTGCCATAAAAAGAAAACTTCCCATTCTCGTGAAACATTCCAAAAGTTATCTGTATAAGGACAATCGGCGCGGCGAAAGGCTTTTCCAACGAAAAATGAACACTATTCGCTACATATTTATTTTTATTGTTCGGATGAGTGTAGAGTGTGTATATGCAAATATCTGATGGAATGGGAGGCGTTGGGGGCGTGACTGCTATCTCATGCACATTTTGTCACTGTCAGTCGACGATGGCATCACTCTTCTGGCCGATTGTGGTTGTTGTCATGTCATTTCGCATTTAAATTGTTGTTGTCACTGTAATAAAATTCGCAGATCTAGGTCCATATCTACGCATTTGTTATCCTTGAGCTGCATTCGTCGTAAAACAAATACCCGAACGCAAACAACACAAAAATTGTGCATTAAAATTGCAATTTTTATTTTCAAACAATTGCTGTCACCGCAGTTTGCATACAGTTTTGGCCATAAATTTGCACAAATCCACCAAGCTTATACTCACAGGGTTGAGTGACAGCGAAATTAAAAACGTATATAAGTTCAGCATTCGATGGATCGTAGCCCATGTAGAACTTGGCAAAGGGCAGATCGTCGCTTAAATTTAGAAAATCAAACCAACTAAAAATAGGAATGCAGCTTACTGTGTCGAGGCTGTTGGCAACAGAATCGCTTGCGGTTACTATATATAAATGATTTGATTGCTGCAATTTTTGTTATATATTTTGGGAATTTTAAGAGCTCTACAATTTAATTAATTAACTTGTTGAATTGAAAGCCTGTCGCTGTGGCTGTTGGGCAAACTTGAAAACCCTTTGTGGCCTTTGTTTGAGCATTCAACAATAACAAATGTCCTTTATTTGCATTGCAGTTCGTTGGCTGGGAAGAGGTTCCACGACCAAACACTCGAGCCGAGATTGTTCAGGCCATGCGACGCATAAGGGTGAGTATTACGCATACGCCGCGTGGGACGCAAATGAATTTGGGAGCGTGGCGGGCGGAAAGTTAACAGATTTCCGAGCGTAGGATATTCGCATCTCCGGCTGCCAATTAAAGAAACTTTTTATCCGGGCTACAGGCGGTTTTAAAGGTTTTGCATTTCTCCAACTTCCAGTACCCGAAAAACAGGCAACACTTTGAATTTGCCAGCGCCACATACTTTGATTACACTTACACACATGTATATGTATATGGCCAAGAGGCAAAAGGAAGCTGGCTGGCAGAGAAAAACCATTCTAGTAGCATTAAAAGTAACGAGGCTTGTTTATTCTTTCCCTTTTCCATCGCTTCAAGAAGTCGTGCGTGCCCTGGCTTAAACCGAGTTAGCCGGTTTTTCTCCTTTTTTTTGGGGTTTGTGTGCGTATGTAGGTTATTGTGTATTAGCCTGTCTGTCAGCCGATGGAAATGGAGAAGTGGAGCAGGGAAAAATTGGCGCTTGTATTGTCATGTCTTTGCCATTAGGCAAGCCGTCACAGGCAGTCAAATGTTAATTGAAAATTCTGGAATTACGTGGCCCCGCTTTGGCGGAAAACTTATACAGACACGTATTCTTTATTTTTACCCCACAGTACGAGTGCAAAGTGCAGAATCTGAAGAAGCGAAAGGTCACCATCCACATATCGGTAAATGGCGTACGCGTTGTGCTCAAAAAACGTCGTCGAAAAGTAAGTCCATGTCGGCCTAACCACATATGTTTCAAATAATTTAAATAACGCCTTGCTTAGAAAAAGAACTGGACCAATGACCCCGAGGACATCGAGTTGCTCAATCATCCCATCTATAGAATATTCTACGTGTCCCACGACAGCAGCGATCTCAAGATATTCAGCTACATAGCGCGCGATGCCAGCACGGATACGTTCAAGTGTTCCGTCTTCAAAAGTCACAAAAAGGTGAGCGAGCTTCCAGATTCGAATGTTTGCCTTAGGCTTTTCCTTTTACTTTGCCCAATGAAATGTTTATGACCGCAATTCGCATAATTCGCGGGCTACATGTGACTACTTGACATTACCATTCGCACTGCATGCCGCATCGCCACCCATGGAATCTCTAAAAATAGGAACCCTGGTCTTGTGCAAACTGTCTGGTGGTATGCGGCTTTTTGGCTAGTATCCAGCATTGGAAAACCGAAACGAAAACAACTAGCAAATAAACAAAAAAATATGCACACTATAAAGAGCGAAGTGCAGTTTATTGGATGTGCTAAAATTGCGTCCTATTTGATGTAGTTTTCATTAATTGGTGGTGACTAAAAGTGGGTGGAGAATACTGGGAATACAGGATATTTAAAATGAATTTGTTTCTAAAGATTACAGAAATATAGCACATTTAATATGTAAATAAAGTTTGCGCTGATAAATAACAAGATTCACAAATACGTTATCTAAAATTTATTTATGTAAATTTCCTCTCCTACTTAATTGAAATTTTGCGATTAAATGAAATTGAAAATTTTAATTTCATACCATTTTAGTTTTTGTCACTCTCGCCAGTTCTGCCATTCGGTTTCTATTCATCGAACCAATGATTCCATGGTTATTTTTCATTGTCAATTTGGCTGAGTCTAGACCAATTTTTCATTGGCCATTACAGCGCACTGGGATCTAAACAAGCCCGGCGAAAAGTAAGTCGCAACTGTCCATCAGTCTGCTGGCCAGTTGGCACATCCATTTCCGTGTTATGTGGCTATGGCCAGTGGATCGAGAGATTCAACCATTTGCGCGGCGACATCGCCCCCATTAAGCTATTGCCGAGATTTGCCAAATAAATAAATCAGATTTTACTTTGTGGTGGCCTGGGGGAAATGCATTTGCTTTGATTTCGGTACGAATGCGGTCTTTTGATTAATTCCAAGTCAGAAATGTACCAAAATGTATTATTAAAGAGCATGGGAGCACGCAAAAACGAATCGTCTGGCCTTCAACTTCAGTCGGTAGACAATGTCAAGTTGGCATTTCTATTTTTCCTTTCTAATTAACAAGCGGACTTCTGGCGAAAAATTCCAATACATCAGAAGGCGAAGCCGCGATGTATTTTTGGTTTTCTTAAAATGTCTGACAAGTGACACACCAGAAATTAAGGCCAGAGGTAGAAGGGTAGCAAGCACATATGTGTATATACAGCGGCATAGTTATCCAAAACGACGACTGCACGTGCTGAAAATCGCGCATACGCCGTGTGCGTCAGAGGAAGCTTCGTTGCACCTGAGACAGGCATTGGATATACAAGTATCATCATCATTCAAGCATTTGTTGTACATGTTGCAGCCAAGTGCAACGCAATTTGGAAGCTGAATGCACACAAACTCGGCCAGACAAAGCGATAAAAGGTGTATGATTAATGGCTAAGCTGGAGCCAAAACGGAAAATGGCCGAAGCAAGTGAAGATTCCGCTTTGTTTACTTCCGCGAAACACAAGGCGCTGGCGTCACAGCGGTGGCTGCAATCACGCATACGCCCAGTTGGACCGACCATAGGGGGTTTCGCTGATCGGTTCGCTTCGTTGGAAGGGCAAGGAAAAAGCAAAACAAACGCAGCATGTAGCCAACAAAGGTGGATGGCAGCAACAGCTGAGCGGAAAAGCTTCGCGGAAAAAGCTTTTCCATTTAGCCGGCTACAACACGATCTACAAGTACATCCACATCGATCGGCAATCTGCTCTCCCATTGCGGTCTTTGTCCAGTGCGTTCTAGACGGCGCCCCTTTGCAGACGTGCGGCGATTCAGAAAACGTTTGATCACAGACAAAGTACGAGCATACCAAATTATGCAATAAGTGCGTGAGTGTTCGTGCAGTGTAACGTGCTAAAAATTATAATAATAAAACCACAGAATAGAAATAAATAAATTCAATTAAATTTATATGAATATTTCTGCCACCTGCAAATAAACAGCCCCCTTTAATAAATAATACACAACATCGCCTGAGGCTAATCAAATTAATAAATTCTGGCAATGTCACAGATTAAAGGAAAATATTTTAACGCATCCATAGATCATCGTTCCCAGTGGGGCGAGAAATGAAATGTTTCAAAATGTGAGAGGCAATAATAGTTCGCAGGAATCCAGTCACAAAAATGTTTGTCATTCGATTTTCTGATTTTCTCCGCCATTTCGACTGCTGACGCCATTAAATGCTTGTGGCCAGGAAAAGGCAAAAACATAATACTTTTAAACAATGCTAAGGATTGAATAATGAGCCACGAGAGCGGAAAATTGACTGGAAAATTAATTGCCATAGGAAAGCCGCCACACAAGCCACTCGAAAAATGCTTGCAAAGTGCGGACAGTAAAACGATTTTAGTACGAGGCTACCACTTTGTGAAAAAACAAGTTTAAATGTTTTTCTCGAGCATATTCATTAAATTCATTCAATCCTGGCCCAACTTAGCTCAGTGACGTACACTTCTTCAAAACTCACTGTTTATGCATATTAGTTGTTAATGAGCTACTCGCACCACAGGTAGTCCACGGAAATTAGTGGGCTGGTATAAATAAATAGAATTATGGTCAATAACTCGAACGCACACGTGATATTATGGCTGAAATATTTACGATTCTTTTCGCTGCACAGCTTATTTATATCTATATTTCGTATTAGTACAATAAACAAGCTAAAGCTAATTTGACAGCTGAAAATTCCCAAATAAACACGAAATACAAATGGAATTTTCATAAACATAACTTTGTTCTCAAGTTTTGTTTCGCATAGTTCATAGAAACTGGGGTAATATTTTTAATTTACCTGTTGTCTGTGGATTTGGCAAAGCCATTGGCTCGGGGAAAACCACAACGTGCCTCATTATTTCTGGTTGCCTTCGTTCAATTTTCATATTCCCAAAAATGGCTGCCCCATCGCCATTCGATTCGCTTTCCTTTGTTTTGTTTCGTTTCGTTTGGTTTTATTTTTTGCATTTAAAGCCAAAATAGATCCATTATTTTAATAGCCTACTTTAAAGTATTTCTAAAATCGAACAACGAGCGGTGGAAAAGACGCAGGTAGTGCGGTGTGCAGGTGTTTCTCGCTTTGTTCGAGAGGCGAATTATAAATACTTAAGTTTATATGCTTTGGGTATTTTTGGTTTCGTTTATACTCGTCGGTGTGTAAACCGAATTTTCAAGTGGCGCAGCCTCTGCATGACTAATGAGTACTTCATTAGCCCAGGGGTAGTAGCAACATGTCCACCCATCTGGACCACGTGACAATGTGCAGAATTTACGAGCTTCAGTTTTCCCTGTGGTAAACTGTGGTCAACTGTGGTCAACTGCAGCTGCGGAAGTGGCTTCTGTGGTTGCCTCCGAATGCTGTGAGTCCAGCAACGTGACCACCGGCGACTTATGGCCACAGTAAACACTGGCCAGATGGCACAGCGCTATCAGGGCAGTCCGGAGGCAATGGCATTAAAAACAGTGCTAAAAAGCCAGACCAGACACAAAGATTTCTCTGTACAAATTTTCCCTCATGACTGGCGAACGAGCCCGGGAAAAGCAAACAAACTGCCAGTGGCAGTGATTTGATTGCTGTGCAGGGTAAAATGGAAATTAAAATTCAAATAAATACATAAAACGAGAGCTAACAAAAGTCATTCTTAACGCCATAAATTTTCAAGTAGTTTTCCACGAAAATGCCACGCAATTTTCCTCTCCTCTCGTTCATATTTATTTAAGTTCTCATTCTGGTTTTGCTGTAACGAATGTAAATTGCCACACACTTTATCCGTTTACTTTTTATAGTTTTCAATTTGATTTATGCGAAATTGCACAAGCCACGCGAGGGCGATATATGTGTGGATTTAGTGATTCCAGTCCAGATAGACAATCAGTTGGCACCTTCGTTAAGACGGATTTTCATGGCCCACGTGGCGTATGCGCAATGCTGGAACGTTGAACTGGCTGATAAAGCGGCCAAGTGAGACGATTCGACGCCCCTTGTAAACTTACCTTGACAGGACTGTTAAATGGCCGAGTTGGGTTTGTATCCCCCAAATAACCAAATATTGAACGTGTTGTAAGCGTGCTTCGCTTCGCTTTGCTTCACTTCACTCGCTCAGTTTTGTTTGCCAACTTGCGCAACAAGTGCTGTCACTTCTTGTCAAAATAATTCAAATTGATGTGTTGTTAATGTCGTTTGGGGCGAGTGCTCAACCTGCCGCCACTGAAGTAGCCCTTCAAAGTGCTCGAAAGTGGCCAAGTTCTGGCCGGCAGTCTCCTGAAAGGCAAAACCACAAACTTATTCGGCAGCTCAGCCTTAATTAGTAATGGAAAATGTTTAGCAAGTTGGCCAAATGTTTTCTGACTGATGGCTTGTTTCTGTTGCACATTCTTAATCGAATTTGTTATGTTGGTTATGCAAATAAAAGGTAGAGAACAGGGATTTAGCGAATTTATAGAAATTTAGAATGTATATTTGTACTTATAATAGGTAACTTAGTAGGTATGAAATCTTTACTATTGTTACTGATTATTTGTTTTCATTTAAGCAAGCTTAATGAATTTAAAATAAAATCAAGGTTCGATGCTTATGGAACTGCAACTGGGCACTGATTCACTTGACAGCCAGCCGATGCAAATCATTCGCTTGCTGATTGACATAAATTTCGCCTGCTGGCTAACCATAACAATACCCACATCAGATTGACAGTTTTGGTTTTTTTTTTTTTGGAGGGGGTGCTGTTCTGAAACGAGAAATCGCGGGCGTGCACGCGGCAGAAATATTCGGCAAAATAACCCAAAAATATATATATTTTTCCCGATATGTAGGCAACATGAAAAGTTGCGAATAATTCAATACACAAATAAATGAACACGCAAAAGAAAAGGCATCAAAAACAACAGCCCAAAGGCGAAAGAGAAATATAAACAATGCATATAGCACCTGGCAGGTGTGAAAAATGGCGCATCTGCGGTGTGTGAATAACCTGGATCAAGGGAGTTGGCCACAGAACCCTAAGCAATTATGAAATTAATAGCCAACTAATTGGACGATCGAAACAGTGAAGAAAATACAGCCTTGAACAGCATTGAACTTAGTGTGTACAGTGACAAATTGGCGAGCTAACGACCTTGCGGATTGCGGATACTTTTCGCGGATCAGCGAACTCTGTTGCGGATCCAGCTGCCTGTGGTGGCCATGAAGCACGAGAAGACCCTCGCCATGGCTGCTCCGCACAAGCAGCGCCATCCGGATAGCTCCGCCCACGTTCCACGCAGTCCCATAACCAAGGCCTTTGATTTCCTGCCCTGGACGCGAAGTCGCAGCAAGGTCAACATGTCCAAGGTCCAAAGTCCGCCGGCGGAGCAGCAGGCCTCTGTTTCCACGGTTGCGTCCGCAGAAAAGCCCTCGGAGGTGCACTATCACAAGAACATCTTCCGCAGCGGCGGTGGCCTCATCCGTGATATCCTGGTGGGAGATAAGAATCTACAGCTTAAGGATAAGCCACCACAATCTCCCGTGCCATCGCACAAGAAGAAACAGAAGCACCTGTCGCGCAACAAAAGCTTGGATATTCGCGAACTTATTGGTTGTGTGGAGCGGGAAACTGCTCCAGCAACGGGAGGAGCTCCTGCGAGTCAGCCACCGCGTTTCATAGATGACACCTACATAGACCACAAGCCCAAGCACATACTCTTCAATGACGACGAGAACACGGTGTACATTATCAAGAAGGAGCAGCCAGTGGCCAAGTCCAGTCACAAGGCCAGCAATTCCACATCCACTGCAGCCCAATCGAACGGAGATGTTCTGAAGGCGCGGCTGAAGTTTAAGAAACTACCCGGGAATCACTATGAAGCATCGCCGGAGGCGCTCCGGCGAGCACATCTTCTCCACCAGCGTTCCGAGCAGCGCCATCAGCTGCAGCGGCGCAAGAGTCTCAGCGATCAGCAGAGCAGCTCCAGTCTGAGCAGTGGCGGCGGCGGCGGAGGGGGCAATGCCAATGGCAGCATCATGCTGGAGCGCCCCAAGACCGATAAGCCGCGCAAGAAGCTATCCTTCCGGGAACCCATTATCGCCGGCGACCAGATACTACCACTCATACTCAGCGAACAGCGCCAGGCGAGGCAGAGGCGCCGCAGCTCCCCCTTGGAGCGCACCAGAGGGGTCTTAGCGGAGGCGGACTGTGATAATTTATGCAATAATCGCACAAAGGATGCAATTTCCTGCGGCTGTGCGACAAGCGATCCGGAGGTGGGTTCAATGCAACAACGGGGCGTATGCGTAATATGCAGTAGCTGCTTAATTGCTGTCAATGGGGAATCGGTGGCGACGATGGTGGGGGGATTGCTATACCTTAGTGGGACCGCCACGCTGTGTGGTATCCATAATGCAATTGAATTAATACCCTTTCTTCACCATCTCCACGTCTTTTGCAGTCTCAGGCGATGCGCATCGTTCGAACCGTGGGACAAGCCTTTGAAGTGTGCCACAAATTTAATCTTCATAAGAATTCCCTGGAACCCAATGACGAACGCTCCGACATATCCTCCTCGGAGCTGCTGGACGTGGAACAGATCAGCGAGCAGCAACTATCCGAGGATGGCGAACGCGGTGGCGGCGACAACGAGACGCCCAAGAAAGGTGAGTGTCGGCGGAAAATTCATTCGAGGTAGAGTGGGAATATAAAGCGGTTGGGGAGAAAACGGTTCGTTGACTGGCCAATAAATAAATGAAAAGCTCTGGCTGTCGTCGCAGTTGGCTGCCAGCTTCCTGGGTGAATCTCTGGAGTCTGGAGTCTGGACGCTGGTCGCATTAGTTTCCTATTCATTTTTGCATTCCCATGCAAATGTCTGCTCTTTAATTTCGAATTCAGTTCGATGCGGCGAGCCAGGCATTTGCATTTAAATTGCATTTTACCCCCCGAGGAGATTGGCAGCGATTTTCCTGGTTAACTCTTTAAAATTAATCGGAATAGGAAGCACCTGAAAGTGCCATTACTTTGGCCAGAGTATCTGAAACATTTTATTCACTTATAGTTTATTTTTTCGGTATTACAGGTAGGGTGCTCACACATTCCTGTTTATTTGGCTTAACATTTTACGCTGCTTTCCCCTCCTTATTTCCGTAAATATACAATTTGCAACTGCACTCTGTAGCATGTGTACTTGCACGAGTATACGCTCTGAACAGACAACTTGCACTGCCTCGTGCTAAAGTAGAAAAATGAGTATGAAGATGACTGTGTTCAAAAATAATAAGAAATAAAAATAAGAATAAAAGCACGGAGAACAGAAGCAGCAGCTTTCGACATACACTTCGACGCTGTTAAGCGATTTCCACATATTGCTTCAATTTTCAATAATCTCCGTGCGGTTTTCCATCTTGCCGACCAACTGCCTCCTTCCCATTTCCCATTTCTCCCCTGCCCCCCACCCATCGAAAACTCTTACACAGGCAAGGCGTAGTTTGACGTCATCAACGCGTTGCTGCTGCCAAAATGAAGGGGGAAAAATAAAATAATATTGAGAAACTCACGAGAAAAGCAATTCTTTTTGCAATCTTTTGTCTAAAACCATCCAGCGACATCATTGGCAAGAAATTCTGAGAATATAAATATAAATAACACCCAAGTGGGAAAACGAGCAAAGGTAGCTACTTATCGGAGATGGATTATTTGCTGATACTCTCATCATAACCATGGCATCACCATTGAATTCCGGAAACTGAAACCGAATGTGTTACCAGGCGACACTCGAGACCACGAAACATTCACGTGGTGTTTGTGTGGGCGTGCCCTGCAGTCGTGTGCCAAAAATAATTTATTTATTTCAATATCTCATCCACCATCCCATCTGCGGTCTTGTAATTTTCTCTATATAGTAATTTTGCCGCATCGTTGGCTGACTTTTAAGTAGCAAAACCGGCGACGGGCCACTGAAATAATGAACGCGGGTGTTTGTCTATGTCTGGGCGACATTCTGCTGGGATTAGGAAGATTAGACCAGCCAAGTTCAAAGTTCAATACCCGAGCACAGATGCTTGAAATTATGCTTGAAATTGTGTCTCAGAGCTATTGGGTTAAGTTAAGCCTGCTTGATTGAAAATATTTATGAGCAAGAGTGCACTTTTTCAAGGTAATTCTACTGATTAGTCGACATCTTTTTGAGTGCATATACATCGACATAGTCTTAAAGATATTTTTCTTAGCTTTATATATTTGATGATGGTTTACTTTGGGAAATTGCATTTATTAAACTATACAGCTCAGAACAAAATGTAAGCAGCAATCTTTGTATATGCCTTAAAACGAAATTATTCAAATTGTATATTGTTTTTGGACTGCCGCGACCACAGGTCGTATGTGTAATAAGTACGCCATTACATTATTCAACACCTAATTTATTGTCTTTGGCGGCACGAGTTGCAAAAATAGTATATCCAAAACACATCACACTACACAAGAGCAATAAGTACAGGCTGAACATTTTGTATCACTAATTGTTGTTCCATGTCACGGAATAGTTTTGCAGCTGTTTTGGGAAGAGCTCTCTAATTGAGTATGATGTGTTCCTCGAAATGGGTCATTTGGGTTGTAAAAATTCGACAATAGATATGGGCTAAATTTAGCCAAAGCAACATGTGTTTTTCCGAGCGGAATCCTTGTTCAATCATTGCAGGAATTGCTGGCGAACTCCAACAATTATTTGCCAAAATACTTGGCGGCTGAAAATCATACGGAACAGCAAATTAATTTACATGCTGTGAAGGATTTTTACAACACTTGTTCGCCAACAATTCACCGGCAATTAACACGTGCCCCAGGTGCGAAACGTATATATACCTACCCACCAAATTTTATTTAAATTTACGGCGCCCGATCCTCGAGTTCTGAGAAGAAATTTCTTAAATATTTCCCAACAAATCAAATTCGAATAGCATTCGAAATCAGAAGTGAACTTCGCACGCCCCATCGTTTCCATTCAAGATCATCATTATCGCCGATCATTATGGTATTCGTAATGCATGCACGAGTATCCAGATAATTGTATCATTACTTATTCGGTACAGCCAGAGCATAATCAAAACAAATATCGAACTCTAGGCCCTGTAATTAATGGGAAATTAAGCGCGAAAGTGGCCGCCAGCGAGGATCGTGGGGCACTAGACCACCAGGTGGGCCGCGTGGGTGTCCCGCGACCTTGACAAATTGGAGGTCGATGGCGCACTTGCTCAACCAACCAAGCTCTCTTCAGCTCACCAATCCACTTCTTCCACTATTTTTAGAGCACTTGGCCATAACGCCCGATCTGAACCACACGCAGCCGCAGCGGCCGAGCCACTTGGATATAATGCCATCGCATTCGAGTCTACGCAAATCGAACAGCCTGCTGGTGAGTAACTTAGTAACTTATGTGCATCTTAATAATTGCGGCCAATGGACCGCTAATAATAAGCGAAATCACTGCCATATCCTGGCAGGGCAATTAAAATGCCGGGCATGGCTAATTTTAATGAGCCGAAATCTTCGCAATGAAATCAAATACAATGTGGCCCATTGCTGGCCTTTCTGCTTAGGTCATAATGTATAAAATAATATTCCCATTTGTTTACCTGAAGTAGGGGGTAGCCAGCTGTAGCTACAATGAAATTCAGATTCAATAACTTTTCGTTGCCCTGAGAACTGTCAAGGCTAAACTGGGAGTAAAAACATATGAATCTTGGTTTTACAATTGAATGCGTCAGTTTAATAGCATTTTCAGTGACATGTTCTCATGTTTGATATGAAAGAAACATGGGACAAACATGTTATTTTTTATGGCTTAATAATTATACAGTGAAACTAGCCTATTAATGGAAGCTGTGTAGAAAAGTCATAACTTTTCAGAGAACAAACAAAACACATTTTCTTTGAACCGTCGTAGTACATAGACAACATAAACATTTAATAGAGCCCCTGACCTTGTTTTAAAATATTTAATTTCTTGTTTTTTTTGTACCCTGCGCGACTTGAAGTGCGATGTGGATGACAAGTCGCCGGGCTCACCCTCCTCGCCGCGCTCTGAGATCACCCAGCTGAAGGACCAGCTGGAGGCACAGGCTCTGCAGACGCGCCAGGCTCTGGGCCAACTGATGCTGGTGCGGGAGCAGCTCATCTCGGAGACCAATGCGCGCATCGAGGCACAGGTGGGTGTTTCGCCTTTAAGGGCTTTCGCCCCATTAAGGTATCCCACTAACCACTGACACATCAAATCCTTCAGGCGCGCACCCAACAATTGCTGCAGCAGAACCGGGAGCTCCTGGAGCACCTGGCCTCCTTGGGGGCCTACAACGAGCAGCAGACAGCCGGACTGACGTCGGCCAACATCGGAATGGCGCCCCAGGTGAGGATTAGACCGATTACCATATATGCTATTATGGGCTTTTGAGTTATGCGATCGTAAATTTGCGCTCATTTCGAGCCTTTCAAGCTGTGCGGCTTTTTGCATGATTTTTGTTTCTGTTTTTCTTGGCTGCCGTTTGTTTTGCACGAGTGTTTATCAATAGTTGCTCCATTTTCGTTGTGCGTTCTCTTTGTTGTTGTTGATTGAGAAGTCCAGAACTTAATGCCCTGTGACCTTTCACCCCATCCCTCGTGTAGCAATCGCAGCTGCAAATGCTGCTGCAGGCCACCAGCAACAACAATAATCTGGCCACGATCAACCAGCAGATCAGCAATTTGGGCAGCATCAATCAGCAGTTGACCTCGCTGAGTCACCAGCTAAGTGGCCTGAATCAGCAGAGCCAGCACCTCCAGAATCTGCAGCAGCAGCAGCAACAGCAGCAGCAGCAGCAACAAACGCAGGCGGCACCGACTCCGGCCACGCCCCCTCCGGCTGCGGGGGGCAGTAGTCCGTATCCCTCGATGAGTGCGCTGCAGAGCATCAGCAATCAGTTGCAGCAGCAGCAGCAGCAACAGCAGCAGGATGCCTTGTCCAAGGATCTGTTCCAGGTGAATCAGGAGCTGCTGAATCGCCTCCAGGCGCTGAACTTAAATGCCAATCCCGGCCAGAGCCAGCAAGCGCCCGCTGCCTCGGCGCACAACTCCTTCTTCTATGTGAATCCCTTGTCCTGCACACCGGCCACGCCCAACAACAATGCTGGCGCAGCAGGAGCTTTCAATTTCCTGACCTCTCCGGCGGCCACGGGAACACTGACGCCCTCGCCGCTGGGCACCATGAATCGGAATTCCTTCGCCGGGAGTTCGTCCTTGAACGAGGATATTCGCCTGAGCATCGAGCAGAATCTGAATAATCTGGAGGAGCAACTCAAGGCAGCGGTGTCCAATGGCAACCTGGCTGGCCTGGCCTGTGGAGGATCGACCAGCACCCGGGACACCAGTCGTAGCTCCTCCACCCTGGACTCCCCATCCTCGCCACGCTTGAGGAGCAGCAATAACAACATTAGTCCTGGGGGCAGCAATGGCAACCAAAACCACAACAATAATAGCAATAGCAATAGTAGCAGCAGTCGGGAAACGCGATTCAATACGGTCTTGCTGAGGGTCACCGACGAGGCGGGTCACCAGAGGAAGCTATCGGCCACGCCCAGTTTCATCACGAGGAGCACCAGCGAGAAGGTGCCCAATCGCAGCCAGATGATGAGCCAGGTGCAGAGGACCACCTGGGCCAGGCACACCACCAAATAGGAGCGGGGGTTCGAAACTCCAAACTCCCAGTGGACCAGGTCATAGGTTAAAGCATAAGCAGAGAGTGGGAGTGCATGGGTGCATGATCGAGTGAATGAGTGGGTGGAACAGTATTAATTTAGGAGAAAATGAACCCTACTTTAGTTTTGCATTTTAGGTGTCCTAGTAGAACGCATCGCTGGCGTTTAGTGTGCCAATTATTTGCCCAGCTCGACGTCCTTTTAAGTGTAATATACATGTACATCTACTTAGCGATATCTTCTAGCTCAAACTGTGCCAAAGTCGAAAGTTCATAGTACTCCAAAGTTTGGTTAGCTTCCGGGCGATAAACCAGCAGCGATAAACCTTAAGTAAAAGTATTTGTGAAACATAATCTTAGCATATCAGCAACGAAGAAACTTACTCAAGTTCGCAATAATCGTTTGAAAGTATTTTCTCTCCCCTAAATGAACAACTATATCTATACAACTAGTGGTTAAGCTAATGAGTCTAGTTTAAACGGATTAAGTTCGATACTGTTATTTTTGTAAATTGTTGTATTTTAATTCAATTCATGCGTGTCCCGCATAGTCTTTATCCGCAAAAATGCAATAATCATGTGTAATGCATTCATTAGTTGCCAGGCTGGAGAGTTGTGTGTAAATTACAATTTCAAATACTCGTTTGAAAGTGGCATACAGGCGGTAGAAGTGAACGGCAGACAACCAGAAATAATAATAAAAATCGCATAATTATGTAAAAACCCTTGGCGATTGTTTTGGCTCCTTTATCGTATATGCATGCTCTACATTTTGTCGTTAATAATTGAAAGTTAACGCCAGACTGGGCAATTTCCCTAATGACTTTTCCGACACAAAAACATGCAGCACACTTTTAAGCGCATTAAGCATCCGCCCCGTGGGACGGTCAGTGTATGAATTTCCCTCCCTGGATAAATGAAAAACGATGCCGTCGCCCAAGTAACAGAAGCAAAAACAAGTGTCGCCATTTTTCACTCCACTCGGCAGTTGGTTTTCGTTGAGTTTCCTCGTTTTTTTTCCGTCCCAGTTGCCTACGGATTTCGCTGGTGGGCAGCAATTTGCGCACATAACTCATTTGCATAAATTTACACACTGACTTTACGTATTTGCCCCACCACGCTTAACGCTACCACACCCACCGATTTTCCATTTCCCATTTCCCGCAGCTATCGTCGACGGCGAAAGTGGCCCGATGGTTCCAGCAACTGCCCTGGCACACCGCATCCTTGTCCCGTCCGGAGAGCGGCTTCGTTTCCGGCGATTCGCGCTCGGAGAAGTATCAGGAGGATCATTTCTACGGCGGCATCGCCAAGGAGACGGATGATTTATGCGATGAGTTCCTGCTGGTGGAGGGCAGCAGCACCATTTGGACGAAGCTGAGCGCCAAAAAGCGTCGTAAATTGCTTGGCATGCGGCTGGGCAAAGTGACAACCTTCTGAGCAGCTCCTTGTCCTCATCATCATTGCGTCCTCGGAGTCGCGTAATGTGTGCGTTTATTAGCTGTTAAGTGAGTTTTTAGCATAGCCCTAAGTGTAGGCTTGATAAATTTCTGCGTAGGCATAGCTAGCTAGTACGAAAACCAATAGACTAAAGGACCAAATTAACCCAAACGAAGCGGAAAGAAACGAAACGGAAAGGAACGACATGCTCATTGAGATGCCATGCAACAGGCACAGGACATAAGTCAATTAGCGAGCATAAAACGTAAGCTCAATGTGTATTTAAGTATTAACTGAATAGAAGTATTTTGGCCAGTACGGAAATTCTCACCATGAGAATCTTGTGGCCAATTCATTAGGCGAACAAACCACGCACATTAATCATACGTCACGTAGCCAACCCTACACACAACATACACACCATACACACCCACTGCCAAAAGCCAAAAGAGCATTAACTTGACCAACTTTTCGTGTACGAGAAAAACTGGTTATTAAGCTAAGCAAACAAGGGCCAGTACCACAGCAGCAGATTCAACGGAAAAAGCGGGGAAAACGGGAGAACTGGGAAAACGGGAAAAACAGAAATCGCAGGAAGGAGCTTTTCCGGTGCAGCCAGTACCAAAAAGATCAAATGTTTGATATTCATAAATTTCAGCCAGCTCCACCGTTTTTATGCATAAATCGATTCTACTTTTACGCTTGGCAGTCCCTTCCCTTGCCTTTTTTCCCCGTTTTTTATTTGGGTAACTCTATAAATTTAAGTCAGCTGCTGAGGGAAGTGCAAGCCGAACTTGCGGCATACGCGGCGTATAAGCAATTTACTCAAAATTTATGGGGATTTGTTGGCTATAAAAAGCGGGGCTCGTAGGGTAGACTCATACTACTTAGCTAGGTAGCTGCGAAGGTGTCGTACTGATTGCACTTCACCCTTGATGGGTTAAGTTAGGAATAGTATAGCCAGATAGGGATAGTTGAATATGCAGAGGTATCTGCGAAACACTGACAATCGTTGGGGTGAGGGAAATTTTGCAATTTAAATTTGAGTGGAGTTAAAGCCGGCCAAATGGTTTTCAATCATCATCAAACTCGGTCGAGTTTTTATTGCATTATTTGGTGGCTCTTCCGTTTATTGCGCGGCATTACAATGAAAAGTCGATTTTCCTAACGATTTTACGACGTTTTCGCAATTTAGGTACGCAGTTGATAGATGCCAGAACAAAAGCACAAATTAATTTACGTAAAATGGTTTTAGTTAATTTATGCAAAACGATTTTTGAGACTGAAACTGAAATTTGTACTAAGCATAAACCAGCAGACATAACACATCACACACATTCGAACATCCATACATTCCACAAGCAATTGCGACAATTTGGGAAACTTTTTATAAGCTACTTTAGCCTAGCCTTACCCAAGTTAAATTACTATAAGTTGCTCTGGTTCAACGCAATAGAATAAAGTGAAAATAATAAAATTAAATGCAACATGCTGGGCACCATGTCCTCATCCAGGTCCTGCCACTTCCACTGCCACTGCCGCTGCCGCTGACACTTTGCAGTTCAATTAATTTAACGCGCTTTGCATGTAATAGAAAGGCATTGCATATCAGCGGTGCCAGCAGACAAGGATGTGCCAGGACATGGCGCCGGAGGAGCACGGTCCGCAGCAGGTGGGCTTGGCTCGTGTGGAATGGCTGTGCCAGCTAACAAGCGCATTCTGGCCAAGTGGGCGTGCCGCGCTGGAGATATCATCTACGCAAGCTAGCATGCGCTCGACTTGGCAATACCCCCCACTGGGAGGACATATATTCCCCGCTTTTGTCAGTATTTATGGGAGTTATCCCTCGCAGAGCACTGTCGCTGGCAATGCTAAAACATTTATTGCTGGCAATTGATAGGGCTTAAGCCAATTTCCATTTTAAGCTAATAAACTGAATTGCAAAAAACCTTACTGTGTTTTAACTAAAAGTTGGTTGTTGTGCAGTTGCAATTGCTTCTATTCAGAGTCAAACCTTGCTGCATTTGAAACATACTTTTTAATGATGCGAAAAGAGTGCCCACCCCTCCAATGCAGGGTATCACAATTAGAAAACAAAGTGAAGGCACCTTTTTACGCTCATAATTAAGGACACTAGCCAACGCAGCGCGCTAATGGAAGGCGCAAAAATGTATAAAACTGAAAAGTGAAAGTAAAAGTCAAAATGAAAATGAAAAATGAAAAATGGTATTTTTACGCTCACATGGCGAATGCGACATGCGATATTTTGTGTTTTCGGGCCGAGCTGTTGACACTTTTTGGGGCAGCGGCAGACATAATTACACAGAGGTAGGCCGCGTTGTGACCCTGAAAGCAGGAAGTTCACTTTGTGTCATGTGAGACCGAGCAGTTGGCGGTGACAGCCACGAGAAGCAGTTGAAAGTGCCGCGTGTCCTGTCCAACGTCATCGTCATCCTGTGGCCAAGCTCGCAGGACTCGCGAGTCGGGGGAAACGGACACCACACACTCACATGGCAAATGGCACATGGCACATGGCACACAGCACATTCATTGTCACTTATCGCGTGGGTGGCGCGTTTAATTCACATTTTATTTTCCAGCGCCCGTGGCTGCGCGCGTAATTGTTGCTTCAAAGTCCTGGCCAGGATCCGGATGTAGTCAGTTCGCGTTGGAGCTGCACGGCGGTCGTGTGTGCGCGGTGAATAATCGCGATTCGCAAGTGGAGTGTGCATCTGAGTGTGCTCCCTTTTGGCCATGCAAAACGAGGAGGAGCCAGCTGCTAGCGGAGCTTCGGGGCTTAGCAATGTGGAATCCTTGCGTAGTCCACCAGCCCCGGCTGCCCGACGACCCAAGCCGGGAATCCTGCGACTGGACATCGGCAAACCGCGACGCTCATCAGGTGGCTCCGTCGATTTCCGCTGCGTGGGCAGCAGCAGCAGCAATGGGAACACCAGCAACGTGGCCACTGGCGGCAACAGTGAGGTAAGTGAGCATGATTTACGGCCCATTCGGGAGTGCTTACGATTTGGCCTGGCCAACAACGACATGGTCTACGGAATGGCTCTATCCGAGAAGTGCCGCCGCCACAGCCAATAGCCATAAACACCAATCGCACTTAACTGGCTTTCGCTTCTGGCCGGGTTAAGCAATGCAGCCCGACCCGGTTGGCTGTTAAAATCATTTTTTACAACCATCGGTGGACAGGTGGAGCTATTCTTAGGTCAATGCAGACGTGGCATACGCTTGACATGTTTGGTGATATAGAGCTTGGAAAAAAGTGAACTTAAAACTTCAGGAAGCTATATGCTAGGCATATTTCTCTAAAAATAGTACGCTATTAGAGCCTTGATTTGGTGCTTCCCAAAATGAAATTTTCAATTTAACCGCATTACAAATTCCGTATATTTGCATAATTAAGGTACTGACTTTCTGTGGCTTAACCAGGCATCGACTCTTATCGTAAACGTTCCTAATGAACTCGATGCACATCAAGTGTGGTTTTCCTGGCCTAAGTTTTAAGCTAATTAGTATAATTTGGCAAACTTGCTCTACATACTCGTACGCATGCAAAATCTCAGATCACCGGAGGTTTCTACTTTATGGGAGTTAATAAACAAGTTAAATCACTTGGCTATTTAAGCAGCAGGTAGCTGCAAATAGCACAGCGAACTTGCCACTGCCACACAAGGGTATCCCAGTGTTCATTAGGCCAGACATGCGACATTGGCTAAGAGCGAGTGGATGTGGATGGGCACACCCTGGGTTTGGGGAGTGGGGAGTGGGGCAAACATTTATTTAGTCATAAAGCTGATGCGTAATCTCAACAAGCCAGGCCATTCCAAGTGGGTCAGGAGTTTGTCAGTTGGCACGTTCCAGTTTGTTTGGTTGCTTCGACTACACACACAAAATTTCCCCCACCCAAATACAAGGAACCAAAAATAGTAGAGGAATGTCGCAGCTGAACGCGGAGACCACCCAGCAGAGGCACTTCATCACGCGCAGCAGTTATGAGGGCGCCTGGGATAGGTTGGTGAATGTGATGGACGGATTTGGGAGCTATCGCTATCCGGATGGGAGCGAGTATCGGGGAAGGTTCCACCAGGGTCAGTTCCACGGCTATGGCCATCTGCGACTGGCCCAGCCGTACCGCTTTACGGTTAAGGGTGAGTTCGAGCACGGCCGCTTGGTGACAGTGGAGGACATGTGGTTTTCCGACGGCCTGCATGTGGAGGGCAGATTTAATGGCATGGTCTTGCAGTGCGATGAATGGGATTACCTGACGCCCAAGGATCGCCGTTATCATGCCGAGCGTCGTTATGGCCAGCAGCCGGTGGGTCCAACCGCGTTTCTTACGTCCCAAATGCAGCCGAGGGATATTCCCGACCATTGCTATGATGTGGAGGAGGGTCTGTTCAACAGTAAGACCTGCTGGATGACGGACCGACCAAGTCCGCTCCACCATGTTATGTACGTGAGCTGCAAGCAAGACAAGGATTGGATCCAGCTGAATTGCCGCAAGGCTAGAACCCCTCGCATTATTGAACCACCTTCCGATTTCTGCCGCCGCATTATAGCCAACAACTTAGTTACGGAACGAGCCCAGTTGCAAAGCACGGCCATATATGCACCCAATGGCCAAGTGGATCGGGAGCGCTACTTCCACAAGTTGACCAAGAGGCGTGGTCAGCCGAAGGAGCCGCTGGAGAACACTCCAAAGCGTTCCATGCCCGCCGATGATCCCACCTGGGAGACGGAGATGTGTGTGCGTGCCTATGCCAGGACGCTGGAGAAACGCCAGAAGGAGCAGCAGGAGTTCCAGCGTGTAAATCCTTGCGCCAAAGTGGAGAAGGTGAAGAAACCACGTAGATGGTCGAGCACCTCGGATGTGCGCAATCCGCAGTCAGGTGGCCCCTCAAGCTGTCAGACGGACAGCTTTGGCGAGGATGAACTGGTCCTAAACTTCGAGGAAACCTACCGCTCGGCCAACAAAATGATGCGGAAGCGGACGGCGGACAACATACATGTGGTGCAATCCAATCTTATACGTCGAAACAGCTACATGGACATGACCCGGTCCATCTTTGAGTTGTAGATCCATTGATCGATGTTTATATATGTTTTTTTTTTCAATTTAAAATTTTGTCTGTAAAATAAAATTCAACTTTTTTAAAGTTCTCGAATTACTTTTCAAAGAACCAAAAACACACATTCATTACATCCGGTTCGAATGTAATGAATCGAACCCAAAACCCATATATTTCGATAATACCTACAAGAAAAACATACCGAAATTTGCAGTTGGCTAACAAAGTTTTTACCCAAAAATTAGCCAGTCGAAAATAACACATATTTGCAGGTATAGGGAATTTTTATTATATGTGGCTACTGTTGACCCATTAGTAGGCAATTCCAGTCCTTTGCCGGATCCAATCCAGTGCGCTGGTGATCCTGGCAAATCCAGCGGGCAGTCCCAAGGTGCAACCGTTGGAGGCCACAAAGGTGGAAACGCCCACCACGATGGAATCTTGTTTGGTGATCAGGGGACTGCCGGCATCGCCGTAGCAAGTGGATCTGCCGTTGGGAGTACGGGTGCACAGAATCTGGTCCGAGACGGTGGTGGATCCGTAGAAGGCGGCGCACTCATTGTTGGACATTATCTGGAGGTCGACGCACTGCAGCGCATCGGTGAGTCCATTGTTGAAGGTGGTCACTCCCCAACCACAGACATTGGCCCACCAGTTCTCGTAGCGCTGGGATCGATTTCTCAGAGACGGCAGGGCCACCCGGTTGACCCGGTTGCTGAATCCAATTCGGGGAACTCGGACCAGGGCGAGATGTTGGTTACCCGTGACATACTCACTGGCTCCCACCGTCACAGCGAACTGGGCCTGACTCAGCCGGGTGGCTCCAAAGTAGATGGTCACCCCGGAACTGCCCGTCAAACATTGAGCGGATGTGAGGATCCAGGTGTCGCCTATAATAGTGCCACTGCACCAGATGTTGCTCTGACCAAAGGCCATGCCCACCACATAGGGAGCCTGTCCTTCGTACGCGGGGCTTCCATTGGTTATAATGTGATCAGGATCCTCGGAATCCTTCTTAGCAGCTCCGGCTGCGACGAGAGTTAGACCCAAGAAAACTACCAACAGCTTCATGATTCAAAGAGAAGATTGTTGCCCAGTTTAACTGACTGGTTTATATAGATATTCACCCGACTGACTGGGTAATTAGTCAATGCTCACTGGAACATTAGCAAACTTTCTCTGATTATCTTGAGGGGCGTTATCCATTGAAGTTAGGTAAATTACTCAAAATCTGTCTTGCCATTAGTGGAGTCGTAGTAGCTTGACAAAAACTGTTATTTCAAATAATATGGCAAATATTTGAGCAGACATTCCAACGAAAATTCACTCAACTTAAAATTGTTAAGTTCGGTACAAAATATATATAGGATATTTAAAAAATCATGGAGTCGAAGGCAACGAAATCTTCAAGCATTACACAGGTAGAGATCCTGTTGACTGGATCCAGATATGTTGGACCCAGTGATGAGTTGGGCATGCAAGAAATGGGCGTCTACATATATCCGGATGGCACACGCTATACAGGCGAGTTCCTCAACAATCGTTTCCACGGAAAGGGCACCATTGAAATCCCGGATTCATCGGGCGTTACCTATCAAGTTCACCATGACAAGGGCAGACTGGTCTCGATCGATCAAATCAAGTTCAATGATAATCTGCCCATGGACTTTGAGATGAAGGATCATTACACGATGAGTTTCAAGCCTTGGCCGTACTGCACCTCGGAGGATCGGCGGTTCTACCAGGAGACCAAGGGGCCTATGGACGCTGTCGGTCCAAATAAGTTCCAGTCCAAGGACGGACCAAGTCCCCTCAACCTGGGTCGCAACATTTTCGACCTGGGCTTCGGACTGCTGGGCAATCGTGGCTTTATGTTGGACACAAAACCGTTTCACAACCAGAGTACTTATCTAGGATGTCGGGAGGCTCGTCGGTGGATCCGGGAGAACTGTGCCCATGGACCGCTGAGCAGGCGTCACCACAAACAAAAGGTGTTGGCCCGCTTTGCCCGTGAGATCATCCGAAACAATCAGGAAAATGCAGGCTGCAGTCGGAAGCAGTTCATGACCAAAACCCACCCTTGTCGGCGCTCCACTAGCTTGGATAGCTTCGGTTCGGAGCGTCTCCATCTGGGCAGCACCACGGATTCCACCTCCTCGGTGGTTCAGGCCATGAGGTTGCGTCATAGGGAGTTCCAAGCCAAATGGACAAGGGCGAGGAGCGAGAGCGGCGTGTGCCGCATCAACTGATTGATCCTTTGAGTTTTGTCTGACTTTCGCTTCTTCTTTTCATGTGGCCTTAAATTAATATATTGTAAATCGTTGGTTGACCCACATTCTGTGACCAACGCCTCCATGTTAGGAGCCCAAGATTTATGGGCGAATCGCGAAAACTGCAGCCGAACATGGAAATCCACTTAGGCCCAAAGGCGTGTGCTTTTCGTTTTGTTTACTAGGTCATCGGGTCCATGGCGGCATTGAACCCCAGCTCAAATGTTACCTTAAACCTGGAAAATTCTAAAAAATGTAGGCCTAGGCCACCAGCACAGCGGATAATGAACCCATAATCGCCGAACATTATGCTACACGTGCACGTGGGCGTAAAGATAAATTTGATGTTAATTAAAGCCTGCCGAGAAATCCATTTAATTAAAAGGGATGAAAGTGAAATCAGAGAAAGTGAAAGTGAAAGGCAAAACAGAAAACACAGTGGAGAGCCCCAAAACATACATTTCAATAGTGGGCGCTCCCCAGAAAAGCACACAAGCTTACACACAGGAAAATGGAGAAAAAAGGCAAGAGGATAAAAGCCGGGAAAAACCTAGAATTTCGCGATTTTCTTTATCAACCCTTGCATGTTTGATTTTCATTTACATGGTCGGGCCAGGAATACAAGGTGACTCAATATCACATACACACAAGCGCCATCTAAATGGACATTCGAAGTCCTGACTGGTTACGCCCGGATACGGCGTTGTTATCACATGCCGTTGGCGATTTTTACACTCATTCGTCTTCGTTCCAACTGGGCGAGGAAGTCAGCCAGTCGGAGTCCCGATCCCCTCCAGCCACCCAGTCGCAATGTCCTGGCGCATGTCCATGTAAATTCCTTTAGAGTGTGTGCGCTTGTGTGGGTTTTGGGCACGTTTTGGCTTTGATAAGTTGCCCATAGTGTTCGTTCTTCATTCATATTCATTCATTATTAGAAAAATTTAAGTTACACCTGTCTGTGTGAGGTCCTTCGTGGTCGCCGTCCCTTTGGATGATGGTCTTTTTCCGCCTTGCTAGCCCGGCCAGCCAGCTAAGCCGTTCAGTCTGCGCACAAGGCTGCTCCACAGCGCTTCGGCTAATAACTGGCTAAATCGGGAGCGAAAAGTGCTAGCTTGTCCACTTTTCATTGAGGATGTTCCATTGAGGGCACTAGAGGAGATATAACCATAAATTGCACAGCAGTGGAATTAATAAATAAGCACTTAGCAGTGAAGGTCACTCCACACGCAAGGAGTGTACCAGTGTGATTTGCGTAATTAGCTGTCCCGGAGCAGCACTTGAAAATTAGTTGAGTTAAGCTCTTGCCATCCATTCGTAGAACAACTCGGGAGTCACTTCGCCACATCAACTTTCTGTGACCTGGGCACCGCCATGCGACTTGGATAGAGGTGGCTGGCAAATGCAGAGCAGCGCCGATGCCAAGAGGGAATTCTACAAAGGACAACGGGGCAGGAGGTGAGTCCTTTAAAGGGATGCTTCTGACCACGAGCCACTACCTCGGCCTCTGTGTTTCTGTCTATTTCTTTTAAAGAACTGCGTCGCAGGAGGACCACAGATCCTACGAACTGAACGGTACGAAAAATACATAGAGTAGTAGTATGTTTTCATAATTATTATGTGCATAAAAATATATTATATATATTTTACAATTATTTAGGCAGGCACAAATACTTTGCTACACATTTTTTGTATATGAATCAAATCTTTTGAACATTTCGCTAAGCAGCTTAAATACAACCTCATTTTTCAAAAGCTAGAATAACCTTTTCCGTGTAACCCAGTGTTTAATATAAAGTGACCATTTAATGACCTCCCCCTCCAGATTTCCCATTGCAAAACCAGAGCAGCGACGCCGAGAGCTGCCACCAGGAACCCCACTTCGCCCACCAGCGTCCTCCAGGAATCGGATTCGACGAGGATGGTGGCGGTGGCGACATTGACGATGAGGAGAGCTACACAATTTCCGTATCGGCAATAATGCAGAGACGTGCCAGTGTGCGCGGCTATCGGGGAAAACGCGGCAGCCGGAGTTCGAGACGTGCATCCAGTCCCATGGATCAGGTCCTGGACAGTGTGGAGCGGCGACGCTCCAGTGTCTATACGACAAGTTCAGGCAAGTTCCGTGGCCGGCCCATAAGTGTCCGGAGCAGATTTCGTTTAGTTAACGAGCGGACTGCTGCCCGGTTCCCCTCGGTCCTCCAGTGGCAGCTAATCAACGTCTGGGGGCCTGTTTCTCGTAATTTTTCATGCTACGTGCGGACCGTTTTGATGGCGTGGCATACGGGGCGTATGTGTAATCTGTTTGCCCTGCTTTGACGTTCGTTTCACTTTGCAGAGGAGGGCACCAATCAGGAGTCCACGCAAGAGCAAATCTTTGAGAACATCCGCCTGCACAAGGAGGTCATACAGTCGGTGAAGCTACAGCCATGGCACATCCGCAAGAAGCTCAAGCTGGTGCGGCAGGTGGGTGTCCACTCCACGGCTTCCACATGGGCGTGGAATCGGATGGGGGACTTTGCCCAAAACTGGGCGCGTTCGTTTTCACGCCGCTTGTCAGGTCGTTGAAAATGTTACGACCGCCTTTACCTCCTTGCAAACCAACCACCCCGAACACTCATCAAATGCTGAGCCAAACTTTTCGATTTCATTCACACACAAACACTCTTTATCTCCCATCTTGCGCTACACCCTGGAATTTTTAATGATGTTTGGACTTTGCGGATCCTGCGGCTCCTTGGATGTGTTGACAGGCCAAAACATATGTGGCACGCCACGAGGGCGCGCTCCAGGAGCGCTTCGCCATGTCACGCAGCACCAGGGACTTGTGGGCGAGGTTTAAAATTTTAATGGCGGCAGTAAGTGATTTTGTTACCCCTTCTTTCTTTTTTTTTTTGGCTTTTCCCTCGCCGAAAACGCCTGCAGAATGCGCAATGCAACGGGCCCAAGGCGAAAGCCCCCAAGCCATGCAACAAATATTTATGTTTACACAATTTATGGGCCACTTTCCGGTCGGGACGGACATTCAATAAATCCCCAGTGTTCGCATAGTTCAGCGCGCTGTGTGTGCTTGTGTGCTTGTGAGCCCATGAGCCATGGCATTCTCGCTGCTGGGAGACCAATTAAAATACGAACTTGCCGGGCTGCCATTCCTTTCTAGAAATAAATCCTTTCTTGCATCCGACGTTTTCTGCAGCGATGGCGACACTGGAAGCGGGAGACGGCCAGCTTCCTCACCGTCCTCATTCCATGGGAGCTGCGCATCAAGGAAATCGAATCGCACTTCGGCTCCGGCGTGGCCTCCTACTTTACATTCCTGCGATGGCTTATGTGGGTCAACATCATGATTGCCATTCCGCTGGTCGCCTTCGTCATTGGCCCCGAGGTGAGTGTCCTCAGAAGTAGCCAATTCGTTTGGCACACACTTTACACACAATTATGTTTCCGCTTGGCTTTGTTCCAGTACTTTGCCACAAAGCACGGAGAAACGGATCCCCGGAAAAGGATGTCCGACCCGGAGGCTCGGGTGGCCGGCAATCTTTTCACGTTCTGGGAGTTCGAGGGATACCTGAAATATTCACCTATGTTTTATGGGTAGGCCACTCGTTTGCTGGACCTCTTATTGTTGGGCCGCTCTTTCAAGTCAGTCTGTTTAAAATGAATCAAAAATAATTCACTTCAAATAGAAACTGAAATTGTATTGCCTTTTAAACAGGAAACAAGTGTCATAACTTTGGTAGAACATTATATGCCTATTTATACCTCTTTATTTTGGTTTTGAGAGCTTTATTAATTGCTGGCAATTATATTATTTCTCCATATCAACCCTTCTCTTGTTCTCCCATCCCTCAGATACTATTCAAGCACATCCGGCATCAGCACGTCCGGATATAAGCTTCCCCTAGCCTATTTCCTTACCGCCGTTCTGGTCTACATATACAGCTTTGTGGCCACGCTGAGGAAGTGAGTATTATGGGGCACAGAGAATAGGGGTCAAGGGGTCATGGGTATGGAAATGGGTATGAGTATGGGTCCCAGTGTTGGGTAGGCACTTCATTAAATCCCTGGTCATCGAAGCCGCAAAAAGCAAACTAAATGTCAGAATGCTCGTTAATTAATTAAACAACACTGAAGCGCTGATTAAATAATACAAATCTTGGCCACGAGGCGTGTCTGGGGCCTGAAAAAGTTTCTACGCCTCGAAATAATCAAAGGAAGAAGCATTGGCCATTATGATTTACGCACGCACACAAGCAAGCACGTGTTTGAAAAGGGGCGGGTAGCGGAGGGCGGAGGGCGGTGGGCGGTACAGGAAACGGAAACGGCAAAACGCCATTTTGACCGTTGGGCGTCTGACACGCTTTAATGGCTTTGTCGGCATTATGTTGATTTCGTAATTGAACAAAGCAGCAATGTCAACAGTGAGCAGTCGGCACCGACCTTTCCATTTGGCGGCCACTTTTGCGGGTCACGTGCTCAACGTGCGTGGATTAATCCAATTGCAATGCTATCCGGGATTCAAACTGGGAATTGCCGGGATTTCAGAACAAATTATGGCTAAATTTCCTCTTTCGATCGAAATCCTTCGACAGAATGGCGGAAAACTCGCGCAACTCGAAACTTTCCTCGAAGGACGACGAGTGCGTGTTCTCGTGGAAGCTCTTCACCGGCTGGGACTTTATGATTGGTAAGTGGGCGACGTCAGCGCCGCAACGAGCTGCCATCATCACAAGTTTTGCATCTCCCACAGGACACGCGGAAACGGCCCACAATCGCATCGCATCCGTAGTCGTGGGCTTCAAGGAGGCACTGCTGGAGGAGGCGGAGAAGAAGAAGGATAATCGCAAGTAAGTCGCGGCCAACTGAAGCTATTTACTTACCATAATCGATACGCCATGTCCTTTCAGCTGGCGCGTCATTCTCCAGAGGATACTGGTCAATATCCTGGTGATGGGGCTGCTGGGCTTGTCGGGAGCCACGGTGGTGCTGCTGGTTAATCAGTAAGTGGACTGGGCAAAAGGATCGTTGATAAATATTTAAGTCCTTCGTTATCTTTTTTAATTGGAAATTAAATATGTATAATAATATTGGAAATTGGTTAAAAAATTGGTTTCTGCTGTAATACTTCTTCTTTACAGCTCTGAGGATTTGGCCAAGCATGACAACTGGCTAAGTCGCAATGCGGTGAACGTGACCATGACCCTGCTCTCCTTCTTCCTGCCCATGATATTCGAGGCACTGGGTCTGTTCGAGAACTGGCATCCCAGGCAGCAGCTGCGTTTGCAATTGGCTCGGTGAGGGATAACCAGTGCTAATGATAAATAATGGGATATAACTGAAGCGCCCTCACTTGCAGCATTATGATCCTGAACATGTTGAATTTGTACTCGCTGATGTTCTCCTTCATCTACAAGATCAACAGCAAGGAGAAGCCGCTGCAGATGCTGAAATTGGAGAACGAAACAAACACCATGGAGCTGAAGAATCTACTTAGTTCGATTGAGGCTCTGAGGGCCATGACCCCCACGACTTCGCTATACGGAGAAAGTACTTCGGATGGCCTGTTCGATGACTCCACCTCCACTGCAAGCTGGGGTGAGGATGCTGGTGGCCTCTTTTCGACCACAGCGGCTGCCGCCCTAATCTCCACCACCGTGCAGCGTCTCAAGTGCTATAACATGACTGTGAAATGCTCAAAGCTGCGGCGCAACATCATCAGTGGCAAGAACTTGGCCACCACTTTGATGGTTCTCAACCTGACAACACCAGCCATGGTGCCACCAACCTTACCAACCACTTTTCCTACTACACTACCTACTACATTGCCTACATTAGCCACCACAACACCGACTACTTCCAGTATTTGGACAACCACAGAGCCACCATCTCCGAAGACAACAACGACATCACCTTGGACAACTTTACCGCCCTCGACAACAACCACTGAGGCAACCACCCCGACTGAAGGAGCCACTACAACCACAGAAGCAACCACCACAACCACACTAAAGATCGCCAATGCCGAAATCAATACTACAATATCAGATACTACAAAAGCCCCCACAAATATATCATCTTCTACACCTCTTAATACTGAAATTCCAAACTCAACCACAAATTTTTCGACTTTGAGCACTTTGATGAATACCACTAGTTTACCACTAAGCAGCACCAGCAAACTAACTACAACCACAACCACGGAGAAACCACAGCGAGAGGAGGACCTAATCTACACCACCGGAGATGATGAGGGCTCCTACGATTATGACAGCGATTCCACATCAAATGCTCCGGATAATGACTACTCCGATATAACGGATTACTCCTCGGAGCCGTCGGATATCGAAGACTTCGATGAACAGGAAAGCACTGATCAGGCTGACGATCCACTGGCCAAAGTTTTGGAGCAACTCGATGAACATGAGACGAAAAGCCGCAGGAAAAGGGCATTGGCCGAGTCACCATTCTACAGCAGCAAGTACAGCAGGCGGCACCGTAATGATTCCGCGGGAGGAACCACTGAATCGGGCAATGCCACACCCAGTCGATGGCCCTTTAATTGGGCATCCTTCAGACAAACCACACCGAGAACCACCACAACAAAAAGAGTTCCTAGTGAAATTCTAACCAAGGAGGAGTGGGAAAGACTCAGGCGTCTTAGGAGCAGGAGTACCACAACTTCAAGTACGTCCAGCACCAGCACCAGCACCACAACCACCACCACCACCACCACCACCACAACTACAAGAAGGCCCAGGTGGAGATATCCAACCACGACTACTGAACCTACCAGCACCACCGAGGAGGAAGCCTCTACAACGGAGAGTTCCACTGAGTCATCGAGTCCAGAGAGCACCACCAAGGCCTTCGAAAGCAGTGGTAGCACCACCGCAGAAGACGAGATCACCACCACAGAGGCATCGGAGAATAGACCCTACTACGTGGGCTATGTGGACATAGCGGAAATGGGGAGTACCATCTACTACGATGGAGACAGCGAGTTCCTGGAGGAGTGTGTGATTACCATTTGCCCCAAGGGCGATGACATCTTCGGCAGCACCACCGAGAGTCCGGATAGCACCACCCAGAGCGGCGACTCCAGGCAGCTAACCACCGTGAAGCTCACTCCGCTGGAGCGGAAGCAGAAGCGACTGAAGGAAGTGCAGCTGGCGATTAAGCAAATACAAACCAATCTGACAACCATGTGCTGGGAGACCTCCTTGGGCCAGGAGCTCTCCAAAGTCATTGTGTTCGACGGGGTGAGTGCGGGGTTCCGGGGTTCCGGGGTTTCCCCTTTTCACTCAGCAGTTCAAAATGAAATTTATCACCATGAGCTGCTGCTATCAATTTCCCTGGCCTGCCAGCCCGGAAGCCACTGCTTCTGTATCAGTATCTATTTAGACTTAAATATGATTGAACTCAAATGGGAGTTGCTCGGAGCTTTCTGGGCGTGAAAGCCCGTTTAGCTAAATTATCCGGAAAATTTAACGCAAAATTTGTCTTCCGCCTCTGCACTTGAGCACTCTTTGTCTTCCTTTTTCCATTTTTTTGTATCGACAATTCGAAGGGGCCATGGGAATTTGGAAAATCAAATTTTTGCGCTCGTCTAGCAAAACCAAAATCCACTTGACTTAAAAGGCCAAACGATTTGAGAAGGAAAAAGGCAAAACAGCAGCAAAATGCGAAAGGCATTTTATCATAATAATCGCTCTCGGGAGTCCTTTTCCCTATTGATGCGGGACTCAGCTGGTGGCCGGAACAGGAATCGGCACAGAAACTTGGTAACTTGGGACTCGCTCTTCGATTTCCAGTCAAAAATTTACATAAGCCATAAGCATGATTGTGAACTTTTGGCCCGTCGAATGGCAACTTTTATTTGGCCATTTGCCACGTCGAGTGTCGATTGGCATCCCATTGGGCCGTGAACTTTTAGTCTAATCGTAAACAAATTCATGGAATTGCCGAAGTTTTCAAGGTCAGCCAGGCTCTTTGGAGATAAGCATACGGTGTACGAGCAGATATCCCACCGAAGTCAATAACCCTATTGGTAGTAGACATCTCAATCCATGGGATTACTTGCCCTTTTATTTCGTACTTAACATTTGTCCGACATTCTTGCCAACTGAGTGTGTGGGCCTCCGGTCGCAAATCCCGAAAAAAATAGGAGACACGGGTCCCGTGCCCCATTTGATTATGCGACCCCCAAACATGGCGTACATAATCTCTATTAAACGATTTAAGCACATAAATTAGGCAAGTTACGGGCCGGGCTTAAACGCATTTATGCTTTACGCATAACAAAACGCCCGGACGATGGGAAATTGAGTTTGGTCATGTGCGGCCTGGGTTTGGGTTTGGATGCCCAGCCGGAGTGCACATCCACCTCCAACTCCAACTCCTCATCTACATCTACTTCTCCATCTCATTTGGGTTTCGATTCGAAACTTGAGGCACGTGTTCGTGCATGAATTTGGACCACAGACTCGAGAAGATAAACTCAGCCGTAAACTACGATTGAAGGCGGCACAACAGCGGAGATGCAGCGATCCGGGTTACGTGTGGCAACTTTTAAGCGCCGGCATCCGGTTACAGAGTTCACTACAAAGCGCTTATTAAACCCCACTTTCCAATCTTATCTCCTTCCACCTCAAAACCAATGCAATCCCAAAAGCTTATGTCCATTGTGGCGCCGCTGTGCATCGACTTTCTGCGCGCCCTCTTCGTCCGGTATGTCAATCAAAACTGGTGCTGGGACATGGAGAAGACCTTTCCCCAGGTGAGCAGGCGATGCCATCCGTGTCATCCGGCTTTCGGGTGTCCGTGGTGACTAATGTAAGGCTTTGTTGTCGTTCCGCAGTACGGTGACTTCAAGATAGCCGAGAACATCCTGACGTTGATTAATAACCAGGGCCAAGTGTGGATGGGCATCTTCTTCTCGCCGGGCCTGGTGCTCATCAACCTGGTCAAATTGATGATCATGATGTACTTCCGCTCGTGGATTGTGCTCACCTGCAATGTGCCGCACGAGGTGGTGTTCAAGTAAGTGCTCTCCTCTGGTCCCATCTGGTCTAATCTGGTGGCGGGAACTCGTTGTAATCCGTAATCCTTGCAGGGCCTCCAAATCGAACAACTTCTACCTGTCGCTGCTGTTGACTATGCTGTTCCTTTGTGTCCTGCCCGTGGGCTATGCGATAGTGTGGCTGCGCCCCTCCTGGCATTGCGGACCCTTCTCGGAGTACAACAGGATAGCTGAGTTCATTACCAACACCACGAGGAATGCTCTGCCAAAGTAAGTTTTTGAGCCGAATGAAAGGGACTTTTATCACGATTTTAAACTTTGCAGACAACTCCACGAACCCCTGGACTATCTGACCTCCTCGAGCACTGTGATTCCACTGCTCCTGCTGCTTATCCTCATTATATACTACCTGGTTTCGCTGACTGGTGCGCTCCGCGAAGCCAACCAGGACTTGCGCACCCAACTCCAAAAGGAACGCGAGGAGGAGCGCAAGAAGATCTTCAAGGTGCCGGAGGTCAAGCAGGCGGAACCAACGGCCACCACGCTGACAAATCGCTGGCGCAAAGTCCTCGAGGCCAGCTCTCCGGTTACACCCACCCAACCACCCGATTTCGATACGGAGGAGTACAAAAATCAAGCCCGGAAAGGTAAGCCATGTCAAGAGGGAGATTTAAGTTCACAACTCATTTATTTCGCTTTCTCCTTCCTTGCACTTAGAGCTAATCTCACGCATCATGAAGAAGGCGTTGCGCAAGGGGTCCGCCACATCGGAAGAGGATTCGTTTGTGCGGCGCGATGACGATGACACGGACACCGAGCACCAGGATTCCCTGCCCCACGACGAGGAGGCCAAGGACAAGCGTTTCGGCCTGTCGCGATTGCAGCAAATCCGGCGTACCCGCAAACCATCGCTGGTGGACATCGTGCAGATTGCCAAGCAGGAGCGGGCACGAGCGGGATCCATTGTGGCCGGAACCAGCGCTTCTGGAACTGGCAATTTTCCCGTAAAGGAGACCCATCCAAAGAGCCGCTTCAAAGTGGAGAAACATGAGCGCAAGGATAGGGCATGCAGCATGAAGGACAAAAAGGACACCAGGCACAGGCAGCCACAGCAGCAGCCGCCGCCCTATGAATCGCCCAAGGACAACGAACATGATCCGGATACAAATTCAAGGATTGTCAGCGAACGCCGCGCCAGTTTGCTGCGGCGCCACAAGGAGCAGGCTGAGGGGGAGGAATCGCCCACCACCCCAGAAGCACCACAAACACCCAGCTCGCCAGCAGAGCCAGTGGAACAGGCGCCCGAGGAATCCACACCAGAAACTCCCACGCTGGCCAAAAGCAAATTCCACATAGTTGATGAAAAAAAGCCGCCGCAGGAGGTGGAAGATAAACCCTTGCCGACAACCAAGGAGAGTGGCGGCGGAAGTTTGGGCAAGTTCAAGTTCCGTAAGCACAAGTTCAAGTCAAATAATGTGGCTGCCGCCAAGCCGGAGCCCGAGGTGTTCAAATTCGACGAGCGGAGTGTGGAAAGGAGCTCGGATGTGCCAGCAACTCACGTCGCGGAGCACCTGAACAGCGAGCTGTCCGGCACTGAGGAGCAGGACAGGAGTCTGCCCTCACCCACTCCCAGCCAGGGTCAGGGTCACCACCAGCGGCAATTGTCCGTGCTTTCCCGACAAGGTCGCAAGAAGATCGGCAACCTGTTGGCCCTGGTTCGGGAGGCCGTCAATCTCAAAAAGGACGACGTGGAGCAGGCGGGCTCGGATGAGTCGCCGGGTCCCACGACGCCCACCTATCTGGCGTACACACCGCCGCCACCTCCATCAGTATTGTCCAGCATGTCCAGTTCGACGGCCTTGGAAATGCCACCTACTCCGGAGCCGGAATCTCCCACGCCCAGTGCACCACTGCACTTTGGCAGCAGCACGTCCTCGCGTCCGCCTATTAAGCCACCCAAGCCTCCAGTGGTTCCTGCATCCACCACCGCTCCAACGGCCACCATGGATGACCTGGAGGAACTGGACACAGCCGGTCCCATTACGTTTCCCAAACGCAGCGATTCCCATCGCCGTCGCACTATGAGACAGGATTCACAGAGCTCCATCTGGTCGGATAATATACCCACAATTACTATAAGCACCACCGGCAGCGATGAGTGCATCGTGGACGCTGCTGCTCCACAAAACGGACTTCCCGAGCCGCAGAGTGCTTCCCCGGAGCCCACGGTCAACATTATAAAGATTGACATTGAGGATGAGCAGGAGAAATGATGTACCTACCGAAGAAGTGCCTTGAACACCAGATTGTCTTCTTGAATAAACATATTAGCATTCTTCCTACTCCACTTACTGTTTAGCTTGAATCTTGTTCTTCAGAATATAAAAATAAATCTTTCGATCCTTACAAACTTATGTTTTATTCATTAGTTTGTTTCCGTATTATGTTACAATAAACCACTCTATATTGCACTAAATTGAAAATTGTTTTTATCACTTTTCATATTAATTGTTTGGGCGCGAATTTATGTTCGTTTTACTAGATTTAAATATCGCGCCAAGTTTAGTATTGGAAAACACCATGGCAAGCAGTGAGTGGAAGCAGTTGCACAGTAGTTCTCAAAGTGGCCACACTTTTGTGGCGCCACTTAGATCGAATTGTATATTTAAATAACTTGCACAGGAAAATCCAATCTGGCTCCAATTAACAACCATAATTAAAAGTTCCATACCACATTTATTAAAGAAAGGCGTTCATTTAACATTTTTTATCATTTCAACCTGAAAAAAGTGCATATAATAAAAGGATTTAGTACTAACTAAGTTTAAATTGTTTACCCCAAATGCATAATGGTCAAATCGTTTAAATGTGATCGCAAACTCTAAAAATTTGAGTATATTTAGTTTCTTCAATGAAACCGAAAGTGCGCGACGTTTGTGGTACATTAACCTTCTTATCAGCTGTGCCAGCGATAACCTGCTAGCTCCAATAACTACAAACTAAGCGGAAAGTAGAGCAGATAGTCCAGCTCTCACAGCCTCCCAACCAAATTTTGAGGCACTTATGTAGAGAAGAATCTTTTGAGCAGCCTGCTGTTTAAATATTTGCGCGCCTAAGTGAGCAATTAATGGAATTCGTACGAAAGAGCCAGGCAATTAAACCGCACTACTTCCACAGTGAAGATCAGCGCAACTGGAGAGCTTTGATTAGTCCAACTCCCGGCCACAAGTACTCCAACCAGATCCGACTGCTCTCTCACAATTTCAGATACAATATACAATCGCAACGTACAGAAACTGAGCGCAGAGCGCAGAGTTTCACTCAACGAGCGAAGATCGTTGGGCTTCGCATTCATTCCTCGAGAGTCAGTTGAGTATTGGACGTCCTCGTTAACGGTTGCCAGCGTCTTGCGAGCGGCGAAGTAAGTGGTAATGGTGGAGCTACTGCATCTGGTGGAACCGAGTCCACATCCACATCCACTCGTGTCTCAAGTCTTCTCGGTCACCTAATATTTATTTTTTTCCAACTTGTTGTCGCTGCTTTTTGGACCAGCCAGTAAAGAAAAGCCAAAGAAAAGCCTCCACCTAGATAAAAACTGAAACATAAAAAGTATCTCGCATGTGACGAAGTGTTTCCCCGTAAGGTTCTTGCCTTCGAGCGGCCGATACAATTACACGTAAAACGAGGCAACACAATCCCAGTTCAAAACGCCAGTCAGCAGAAATGCAACTTGGCAGCAGAGTGTGCACCCAAGTTGGGACAACTGCAGTTATTAATAAAATATAGAATAATAATAGAGGGAAATATATTTTGGAAAATCGCCGAATAGTGCCCATGTGTTACTCGACGAACGGTCGCAGTGGAAAATGTATCTACCATATAAATATAGCCGATAAATAAACGAAAATAACGCAGTTGCTGCGCCCTCTGTGCATCCGTGAGATACGAAACGGAGTTCGTAAAAGTATCTGAGCGGTTTTTGAGTGCTTTCCTCCGATTTCCCTCTACCTGCTGTGTTGTGCGTGTGAGTGTGACTGCGAGTGTGAATGTGAGTGTGCGTGTGAGTGTGCGTGCGAGTGTGCGTGTGTTGTGCCGATGAACCAGTGGATAAAAACAAACCGAGCAATAAAGATACAGACCAAAAGGTGCAAACAAAAACGCAGTTCAGCCCAAAAAAAACCCACGACTTCGACTATTTTCTTTATATAGAGTGTGATATCATCTAGTTCGTAGCCCCAAATTCTTATCGCCAAAGGAACTCGTGTTCGTGTTCATGTTCGTGTGTTCATAGGCGCGTATCTCGTCTCGGCTCAAGACCCAGTCCATATACATCCCCGCTATGTGCACCATGGGATCTGAAATCTGAATGGAGCGGATGTTCGTTCCGACCATATATAGTATGTAGAGTGTGTGTGCGGGGTGTATAGTTCCAGTATCAGTGTTATGTGATTGTTGGGACTGAACTGAACTCTGCGCAAAGGGTTCATCTGAAAGTCGGGCGCCCTGACAACGGATTTCGTATAGTTTTCGAACCGTAAGAGCCCATGGGGCTGATAAGACAAACCATTCAACAAAAGCGGGAAATAAATGGGTGCCATTGATAAACATGGAAGTTATGTGCAAACAATTAATAGAACTCAAATAAATCTCGGCTGTGGACTGTTCGTCTTTCGGTGTTTAAAAATAAAACGAAACCCTGATTCTGATCGTGATTTTGAGCAGGCAATGCGCTTTGGAATAGAACGAGCCGGCGTTTCTAGGAATACTTATTCAGACTGACAGCCACGATATCGGTATATCACATTCACTGAATGAAATTCCAGAGGATCACTTCTTTATAAGTCTTGAATTCCGCATCTCACCCACGAGAACTGGTATTTTCCTGTATCCAAGGGAATCTTTCGCTTGCACTCGTTTTCAGAGGATGTGATATCATCTTGCCGCAAGTGCTGGGCAAATATTTGCTATTAGTGCCTCTGTGCCTCTCTTAACTGAATTCATAGAAAAGACTAATCTTAGAGCTTGGATATGCAGAATCTAAATGAATCCAACCTTGCAACTAGTGCAGTGCTCATATACTCGTATACTAAGAACTAAAGACCTCATTATTAATTGTGCCGGGGGCAGCTCAAAACTGAGGATGGGAATGAGTATGGGAGTAGATGAAATCATCGCATAGATATACTTCAAGTTCCCGAATAGCAAAGATACACATGGTGGGCAGTACAAGCACATACAAGCACTTTACTCGACTGGAGCTCATGCTCGAGAGTTTATTTATGTCTCTGCTTTTTGTTTAAAATTTTCATTTGCAGTTCTGGGTTTGTTTACCCAAAAAGCAAATGAACTCATTGCCGGCCTGGCCAGAAAAGTTTATTTTCCGAGCGATTTGCTCGGCGAACTAATTAAAAATCGGCCCCGGAACATGGAGCAATATGTGGCACACATGTTCTCCGATTTGGTATATCTAAACTGATTCGTAATCTCGTGCATTTTTCAGCATATGAAGTCGCTCAGGCACCACCAACAGGAATAGGATATCGTAATGAATTGACGAGCGACACCAAAGTACAACCTCGAAGGAACAACCCACCAGATAGCCCAGATAGCCGAATATACTTTGGAACTCCTCCACTCGTCCTAGTGGCACCCGCACCCACCTGTAGCCAAACGAGCCACCCAAACCGAACCCACCATGAAGCACAGCCGGTGGAGCCACAGTGGCTCCTCCACGGCTCGTCTCCTGCTGCTCGGAGTCCTGTTCGCCAGCTGCTCCACCGCCATCCTGGGCGCCCTGCGTCCGCCCATCAACTCCGCCGGAGGTCACGAACTGCGCGGAACCACCTTCATGCCGGCCCTGGAGTGCTACGATCCATACGGCAGGCCGCAGGTAAGGAGCTCGCACTTTGAGCCACTGTTTACCCTCATTGTTTGTCCACAAGCCAATTGAGAAGAATTGAGAATTAGTGGCGGGCATTCAGCTTTTGGGCTGGGTCAATTCGAGTGCGAGATGCCAACTAATTGAGTAATTAAGCGACAGTTTTGGAGGAAGGAAAGGAATCGGGGAAGTTCCGGGAATCTATAAATTACTGTAGTCAAAATGGAATAATCTTAATGAATTGTAATTACGTATGGCTGTCTAAAGTAAAAGTGAACTGTGGGCGTGGAGTCATGTCTTTTCAATTAAAATCTATTGGCTTTGTACCCTTTAGAAATGTCTGCCAGAATTCATCAATGCTGCCTACCAACTGCAAATTGAGTCAACTAACACCTGCGGTGAGCAGAACGACAACCACTTCTGCATACAAACCATGAACCAAAATCACAAAAACTGCGAGTTTTGCAAGTGAGTAAAAGTGGCGCTACACTATACACATGTCAATAAATGACTGAAAATATTTTATATAGGTACAATGATCACAATCCATCCTTCTTGACGGACTTGCACGATCCGCAAAGTCCAACCTGGTGGCAGTCGGAGACCATGTTCGAGGGCATCCAGCACCCGAACTATGTGAATCTGACCCTGCACCTTGGTAGGTGTAATAGATAATGAGTTTGAAACCAACATTTTCAATATGCGTATATATTCCGAAACCCAGGAAAATCCTATGACATCACCTACGTGCGCATTCTCTTCCGCTCACCGCGACCTGAATCCTTCACGATTTACAAGAGGACCTCGGAGTCTGGACCCTGGATACCCTACCAGTTCTACAGTGCCACATGTCGCGACACCTACTCCCTGCCAGATTCGCGAGCCATTCGCAAGGGGGAGGGCGAGGCCCATGCCCTGTGTACCAGCGAGTACAGTGATATCTCGCCGTTGAGGGACGGTGAGATTGCCTTCTCCACGCTGGAAGGGCGGCCCAGTGGCATCAATTTCGAGCGTAGTGGCGAGCTGCAGGAATGGGTCACGGCCACGGATATCCGTATTTCCCTGGACCGACTGAACACCTTCGGTGATGAGCTCTTCGGCGATTCCCAGGTGCTCCAGTCGTACTTCTATGCCATCAGTGACATTGCCGTGGGTGCCCGCTGCAAGTGCAATGGCCATGCCAGCAAGTGTGTCCCGAGCACGGGCATGCATGGCGAGAGGACCCTGGTCTGCGAGTGCCGGCACAACACTGATGGACCCGATTGCGACCGCTGCCTGCCGCTCTACAACGACCTCAAGTGGAAGAGGTCCACCTCAACGGAGGTGAACGAGTGCAAAGGTGGGTGCAATCTACTCAAGTACTATAGGAAAGTAGTAGAGTATTATCTTATAGTTAATTTTAAACAAAAATTAAGTGTATTTGGATGAACATGTTTTTGTTATACAAAGGGAACGTGTCGTACCCAAAATATGATTGGTGACCCAGCAAGAATACTCTTTCATAACTAGGAACTACATGTGTTAAACTAGTTTTTCCCAACTGCACTTTCCACGGGGTGGGGAGACGTGCTTTCAGGTTTTCCACTAGCTGGACACTGCATCCAGTCCATACCTTCTGTATAAGGACAGACCACTTTGCCGTTAGAGTCAGTTTTATTTGAGAGAAGCTAGGATGGTCCATCCATCAGTCATGTTTGTGCCTAGCTTGCCAGCGGTCTTCTTTTTGGTGCTGCCTCTTGTCCAAGGCTGGTCGCATGATTGGAGCTTGGAGACCAATCTTATAGGGCCAGAAGTGCCGAATTGGTACCTGATCAACTGTATAAGTAGCTCTAAAGGAGGTCTAACACTCACTAAAATATATTTTGATCCTCAGCTTGCAACTGCAACGGATTGGCGGACAAGTGCTTCTTCGACGCGAGTCTGTTCAACCGGACGGGTCATGGAGGTCACTGCCTCGACTGCCGAGAGAATCGCGATGGACCCAACTGCGAGCGCTGCAAGGAGAACTTCTACATGCGCGACGACGGCTACTGCGTGAACTGCGCCTGCGATCCCGTGGGCTCCAGGTCGCTGCAGTGCAACAGCCACGGCAAGTGCCAGTGCAAGCCGGGAGTGACCGGCGACAAGTGCGATCGCTGCGACAACAACTACTACCAATTTGGACCGCATGGATGCCAGCAGTGCGGATGCGACAGTGGTGGATCCCATGAGAACACCCCCGCCTGCGATACCGACACGGGAATCTGCTTCTGCAAGGAGAATGTGGAGGGCAGGCGCTGCAATGAGTGAGTTATACTGATGCACACTGATCCTTACTGATGCTTACTCCAACTAAACTGTTGGTTTCCTCCGTAGATGCAAGCCTGGCTTCTTCAATCTGGACAAGACCAATCGATTTGGGTGCACCCCGTGCTTCTGCTACGGTCACACCTCCGAGTGCATGACTGCACCAGGATACTCCATTGTCTCGGTCACCTCCAATTTCAACAAATTCAAGGAACGCTGGACGGCCGCCGATTTGAACCAACGCGAGGTGGACATCAAGTACAACCAGTACAGCCGGAGCATTGGAACCACCGCCCAGGGCAATGAGCACGTGTACTTCCAGGCACCGGATCGCTTCCTCGGCGATCAGCGTGCTTCCTACAACAGGGATCTGAAGTTTAAGCTGCAGCTAGTGGGTCAGGTGGCCAATACCGGAGTCAGTGATGTGATCTTAGAGGGTGCTGGCAGCCGCATCTCGCTGCCCATCTTCGCACAGGGCAATGGAATACCCGACCAGGGAGTCAAAGAGTACACCTTCCGGCTGCACGAGCACCATGACTACCAGTGGCAACCAAGCCAGTCCGCTCGCGGTTTCCTTTCGATTCTGTCCAATCTGACGGCCATTAAGATCAGGGCCACGTACTCGGTGCAGGGTGAGGCCATTCTGGACGACGTCGAGCTGCAGACGGCACATCGTGGAGCCGCCGGTCATCCGGCCACCTGGATCGAGCAGTGTACCTGTCCGGAAGGCTACCTGGGTCAGTTCTGTGAGTCCTGTGCTCCAGGCTATCGCCACAGTCCCGCGCGCGGTGGTCCCTTCATGCCCTGCATACCCTGTGATTGCCATGGTCATGCGGACATCTGTGACTCGGAGACGGGCCGGTGCATCTGCCAGCACAACACCCACGGAGATAACTGCGATCAGTGTGCCAAGGGATTCTACGGAAACGCCCTGGGCGGAACTCCCAGCGACTGCAAGCGTTGTCCCTGTCCCAATGATGGTGCCTGCCTGCAGATCAACGAGGACACGGTCATCTGTACGGAGTGCCCGAAGGGCTACTTCGGTTCCCGTTGCGAGCAGTGTAGCGATGGCTTCTTCGGAGATCCCACCGGTCTCTTGGGTGATGCGCAGACCTGCAAGAGCTGTGACTGCAATGGCAACGTGGATCCCAACGCCGTGGGCAATTGCAACCGGACCACAGGCGAGTGCCTAAAGTGCATCCACAATACAGCCGGAGAGCACTGTGATCAGTGCTTGTCGGGACACTTTGGAGATCCCCTGGCCTTGCCCCATGGCCGCTGTGATCGCTGTAGTTGCTACGCGGCTGGAACCGAGCAGGATGAACAGAGTATCACGCGATGCGACCAAGTCACTGGTCAGTGTCAGTGCAAGCCGAATGTGATTGGAAGGGATTGCGGAGAGTGCCAGCCGGGCTACTTTAACATCCGATCGGGCAATGGTTGCGAGAACTGCCTGTGCGATCCGGTGGGCAGCTACAACTCCACCTGCGATCGGTACTCTGGCCAGTGTCACTGCCGACCAGGTGTGATGGGTCAGCGGTGCGATCAGTGCGAGAACTACTTCTACGGATTCTCCAGCGAGGGCTGCAAGCCATGCGAGTGCGACGAGAGCGGCTCCAAGGGATTCCAGTGCGACCAGAATGGCCAGTGTCCTTGCAATGACAACGTGGAAGGACGTCGTTGCGATCGCTGCAAGGAGAACAAGTACGACAGGCATCGGGGTTGCATCGATTGCCCCGATTGCTACAACCTCGTTCAAGAAGCTGCCGATTTGCATCGCGCCAAGCTATTCAATCTCAGTCAAACGCTGGACGAGATTGCCCGCACCCCGGTGACCAACGACGACGAGTTCGAGGCCAAGTTGAAGGCGGTGCAGGAGAAGGTGGCTCTCTTGGCCCAGGACGCCCGCGACAATTCCGGCGAGGGTGGTCAGACCCACGCAGAGGTCATCGATGATCTTCACAAGCACCTGGACAGCGTGAGGGAGCAGCTCGTGAGCGCGGATAAGTTCCAGGCTGATGCCAATGCGGAGATCGATAGGGCACGCCAGAACTACACCATTCTGGACCAGATCACCGAGAACGCAAAGAAGGAGCTGCAGCAGGCACTCGATCTCCTGAATGACGAAGGTGCCCAGGCGTTGGCCCGGGCCAAGGAGAAGTCTGTGGAATTCGGACAGCAATCGGAACAGATCTCGGACATATCTCGTGAGGCTCGTGCCCTGGCCGACAAGCTGGAGTCGGAGGCCCAGTTCGATCTGAAGAACGCCAAGGATGCCAAGGATGCGGTGGAGAAGGCCCATCAGCTGGCCAAGAGCGCCATCGATTTACAGCTGAAGATCGGCACTGAGCTGCGTTCCGAGGTTGGCTTGGAGCTCAACCATGTGAAGCAACTACTGGGCAACGGGGTGCAGATCGCCAAGGAGGCTCTTCGCAAAGCCAACGAGGTCTACGAAACAGCATTGACCCTGCTCAATGATGTGAATCGTCAAACCCAACCGGAAATCGATATCAGTCAGTTGAAGAATGATGCATTGGCGGCAAATGAGCGAGCTGATGAGCTGCTCAAGCAGATAACTGACTTGTCCAACAGCAATGGCGAGCTCTTTGCGGATTTCGAATCGGAGCAGGAACTAACGGAGGCGCTGCTTAAGAGGTGGGTTTTCTAATCCGTATTCCGTATTTACTCTTTGCTAACTTGATTACATTACAGAGCTGAGCAGCAGCAACTGGAAGACATCGAGCTCTTGGAGCGAGCTAAGGCCGCCCACGACAAGGCCACCAAGGCAGTGGAACAGGGCGACAATACCCTAAAGGAGGCCAACAACACCTACGAGAAGTTAGCCGGCTTCCAGTCGGATGTCCAGCGCTCTTCTGAGAGCGCGGAGAAAGCACTGCAGACGGTGCCCAACATCGAGAAGGAGATCCAGAATGCGGAGAGCCTGATCAGCCAGGCGGAGGAGGCACTCGATGGAGCCAATAAGAATGCCAACGAGGCCAAGAAGAATGCCCAGGAGGCGCAGCTGAAGTATGCCGAACAGGCTTCCAAGGTAAGTCATTCCGGGACACCCTTTTATCCTCACTAAATGTATACCTTTTCTTGGCAGGATGCTGAGCTGATCCGCCGCAAGGCCAATGAGACCAAGGTGGCTGCCCGCAATCTGCGCGCGGAGGCCGACCAACTGAATCACCGCGTGAAACTCACCGAAATGGACATCTTCAAGCTGGAAGAGAGCTCGACCAAGGACGACAACCTGGTGGACGACGCCAAGCGAAAGGTGGGTCAGGCCAAGGCCGATACCCAGGAGGCCCAAAAGCAGATCGAGAAGGCCAATGAGGAGCTGACGGCCATCAAGGATGAGCTGGAGAACCTGAAGGACATCAACACCGGCGATTTGGATAAATTGGGTATGAAACGATAAAAGAAATCTTTTCGATACTGAATTTTCCTATGAGTAATCTTTTAATTCCGCAGAGAATCGTTTGGCCACTGTGGAGGGTGAGATCAATCGCGTCAACCTGACGGGACGAATCGAAAAGTACCGGGAACAGCGCACCATTCAGAAGAATCTGATCGACAAGTACGATGCCGAGCTGAGGGAACTCAAGGATGAAGTCCAGAACATTGGACTTATTTCCAAGGCTCTGCCCGATAGTTGCTTCAGTCGCAACCGGCTGGAACCCTAGAGCTCTGCGAACCAGCCCACTCCCCATAACAACTACTTCAATTTTAACTAAGAACGAAGATCAGAGACGAGACGAACAAATCAGATTTATGATAGAACGTAGACGTTGAATGAAATTATGTAATTTTAGTGCCTTAGCCGAAATATTCTGTTTAGTGACCCAGCCCAAGGATCCACAAAGGAGACCAACTGAGCAACGTTAAGCTTTAACGCATCATCGTTCGCATACTGTATGCCATATACTATACTGATACAAGGGGATGGACGATGATGACCATATCGAGAATCAACTGCCAACTGTGCTTCACCAGTTTCAAGCCAGCCACGGACTGTATTATATGTTAAAAAGAGACACTAAACGAAACACACAAGACCTTGTAATCCTACAATCCGATAATCCAATCGCAACTCTATATCTCTGCCGTAGCTCCACCGGAAGTCTATTCTAAACACTTATATATTAACATATTTGTCATCTACGTTTAATGTGCCAATACAATTACCACGTATCTTTCTGTATAAGTCGCTTAAAGAGTTTCCCTTCAAAATATAACTTTTCCAACGTTGTAATTTTGTAAAAATAAACCATATAATATGAACTGGGAGAATATTCTGATGTCGAAGCTAGCGGAATATACTTACTTTTGCCATTATCTCCTTTATTCAGGGTGAATTTGCCGAACATCCACTTTAATGGAAACAGAACTTTTGAAAAAATTTTTTTTTTAATGTATACGTGTAAAATGTAATGTAAAGTAGGGAAAGGCAATGAAACAATTGACATTTCGATAGAATACAAAATATCGACGACCAACGATACGATTAATGGTACTATCGTTCTTCTTGCATATCTAATGCACGTGTTGTTTAAATTTGTTTGTAAACAAAAGTGTTCTTAAATGAGTTTTTAGCTGCAGCCCGACAAATTATCAACAAAATATGTCACGAATTATAGTAAAGCAGCTCCCCAAGCATGTCAGTATATATTCTTGCAGAAGAAAACATCTATTTAAATTGAAATTGTAGATCACCGAGGACAAACTGCGGCAGATTTTTGGTGCGCAGGGCACGATAACAGATCTGCAACTCAAATACACGCCCGATGGAAAGTTCCGGCAATTTTGCTTCGTGGGCTTCAGCACCGAGGAGGAGGCCCAATCGGCCATCCGGCACTTTGACAACACATGCATCCAGACCAGCCGGGTGCGCGTCGAATCCTGTGCTGCCTTGGGTAGCGAAGATAAGCCGCAATCATGGAGCAAGTACGCCAAGGACAGTAAGAAGAACCAAGACAAGTTGAAGGAGAAGGAAAAGGAGGCGGCGGCCAAGGCTAAGGAGTCTGAGAAAAAAAAGAAGAAAGAAAAAGTAGACAAGGTGGACCAAATTTTGAGCAGACACAAGGACGACCCGGAATTCCAGGAGTTTCTGGAGGCGCATGACAAGTCGCGAACTCTGTGGGGAAACGATTTGGGTATAAATAAAAACCTGGAGGATGACGAAGAGGACGAAGAAGAGCAGGAAGAATCTCGAGCTGGCAGAGATGACAGTGGAGTGGATGCGGATGCAGGAGATGAGGATGGCTCAGACGATGAGGCAGACGAAGAAGAAGAGACCACTAAACTGGCCGAAAAACCCATTAGCGATCTGGAGTATATGAAATCCCTGATGGCAACCACTTCCGGCGATGCTACCGTAAAGAAACCCAAAACCAAGGCGGACAAATCGAATTTGGAGCTATTCACCATCAAAATACACAATGTACCATACAACACCAAGCGCCAGGAGGTGCTTAAGTTTTTCAAACCCCTGAAACCGTACTCCGTTCGTCTGCCCAGCAAAGTTCACGGCTTCTGTTACGTGGGCTTCAAAACTGAAAAAGACATGGCCAAAGGAATGCTCAAAAACAAAAGCTTTATCAAGGGCAAGCAAGTGTTCTTCTCCGACTTTACCGAGAAGAACAAGGTGACCAAGGCGAGCAAGAGTGGACAGCAATTGGCACCAGCCGCTGCCGATGCAGGCAATGCGAAGTGGAAGCATCAGCAGGACAGTTTATCCAAAGAAGATGACATCTCCGAGTCCGGTAGGATATTCTTTCGTAATCTGGCATACACTACTAACGAAGAGGAGCTGCGCAAGCTTTTTGAGCAGTTCGGTCCCGTGGTGGAGGTGAACCTGCCTCTCGACAAGCTCACACGGAAAATCAAGGGCTTTGGCACAGTTACCTACATGATGCCGGAGCACGCTTTAAAGGCTTTTAATACCCTTGATGGCACGGATTTCCATGGACGTCTCTTGCACCTCCTGCCCAGTAAGGACATCGAAAAGAATTCGAATGAAGATTTGGATGAAAACGATGCCAGTCTGTCATTCAAGGAGAAGAAGGCCTTGAAACTCAAGAAGAACGCCCAAAAACCAATAGGCTGGAACACATTGTTTCTGGGTGCCAATGCTGTTGCGGAAATTCTCGCCAAGCAATTTAAGACCTCAAAGGAACGCATCCTGGACACCAGCGATGGTGGCAGTAGTGCCGCCGTGCGCTTGGCTTTGGGAGAAACCCAAGTCGTCATCGAAATGAAGCGCTTCCTGGAGGAAGAAGGCGTTCGTCTTGATGCGTTTGATGAGCCTGCCAAGAAAAGATCCAACACTGTTATATTGGCCAAGAATCTGCCGGCGGCCACAGATATTTCAGAGCTTACCCCCATCTTTAGTCGATATGGACCAATTGGCAGGATTGTGCTTCCTCCCAGTGGGGTAACGGCACTTATCGAGTACTGTGATCCTTTGGAGGCGAGGCAAGCTTTCAAGAAGTTGGCCTACAGCAAATTCAAGAATGCCCCACTTTATTTGGAGTGGGCACCCGAACAGGTCTTTTCCAAGACGCTTAGTGGAGATCCAGTGATTCCCAAATCAGAACCGGAACCCAAGGAGGAGACAAAGCCAGAGGAGAAACCGATTGTTATTGATGCGAAAGCTGAGGAGGATTCTAGGGCAGAGGATGCCGATGATGAACCCGAACCGAATACAACACTGTTTCTACGGAACCTTAACTTTAAGACCGTACAGGAAACGGTGGAGAAACACTTCCGCCATTTGGGTAGCATTCACACCGTTGAAATTGCCAAACGAAGGGATCCGGAAAATCCCCGGGAATTCAAATCCCTAGGTTACGGCTTCATTCAGTTCAAGAAGTCCTCAGTAGCAGAGCACGCTTTGAAGAATTTGCAACTCACCCACATTGATGGCAATCCTGTGGAACTGAAGCGCAGTGATCGTGTGCTCAAGTAAGCCGCGGAATACCAAAATATATATTTACTTTACTAACTTTATAATCTTTTCCAGGACCCAAGATAATGAAGGTTCTCAACGTCGACTGGCCTCACAGAAGAAGCAGACGGGCACCAAAATCTTGGTGCGAAATATTCCCTTCCAAGCACAATACCGCGAGGTTCGAGACATATTCAAGTACGTATAGGTCCTACCTGTTAAGAAAAATTGTAATGCTATTGCTAATACGTATTTTTAGGGCTTTTGGCGAACTGCGATCGTTGCGTATTCCCAAAAAGGCCACCACGGGAGAGGATGCGCATCGTGGTTTCGGTTTTGTTGACTACATGTCCAAGGCGGAGGCCAAACGCGCTTTCGACGCCTTAAGCGCCAGTACGCATCTGTACGGTCGTCGTTTGGTACTGGAGTGGAGCGCCAATGATGACAGCCAGGACGTGGAGGAGCTTCGCAAGCGGACGGCGGCCAAATTCGGCACCAGTCAGGCGGCCACTGTGGCCAAACGCAGTAGGAAATCCTTCTTCGATGTGGAGGGCAGTGTGCAGCCAAACCAAGATGATGACGAAGAAGAGGAGCAATAGTCCTTAGACGTAGCTTGAAAATGTAGAAAGAACACGATATAATACATAGAAATTGTTATTTTTATAAACAAATATGCACGACTCTATTTTTATAACTGCGAAAAACGATTAATATCGAATCCTTATGGCAATAACTAAATAGTCCCGGGTGCGTGCTGTGCAGAGGTACACCAACCTATTTATTGTTCATGTTGCGCAGGAGCAGAAAGAAGTTTGCACTCAATCGAAATACCTGAATTTAGAATACTTATAAAGGTATGAAATAAAAGAAAATTTTAATACAGTACCTGCACTAGAAATTTGTGGGAGAGACTAGTAAACCCACCCACGCTTAAAACAAAAGTTCGACGTGAAAAGAGCAGCATCATTTTGATCATGAACTTGAATTCCCTGGACTCATTATACCAGCTACAGTTGTACCAGTCGTAGAACAATAGTTCACTCTGAAACACAATACTCGTATTTCCTTAAATCAAAATTGTAATAATACAATAAAACATACCTGGCTCTCCACCTTCTGTGCACTCACGTTGTACAAAGTGATTTCCAGAGCTATGGTCACAAAGTAGACCATAATCATGCCCATCCACACCCAACCAACTTCCTAATGAAACAATTTTGAAATAAATAGATATAAACACTATAAGGTTTATCAACTAACACACCAGTACTGTGCTGATCTTGTAAAGCAACATGCAGATCAAAATACTGCTGACGGAGCACTGAACCAGAATTATATACTTGAAGAGGTTTTCAATTTGATTGTGATGGCTAAAAGAAAATTGGTTAAAAAATGTGTTCTTAAAAAGAGAATCCTATAACCTTGATATGCGAGCGAAAAGCCTTACGCAACATTGAAGATATTTAACTCTCTGGTCTTTGGGAACCAGGATATCCGAGGTAGAATTTTGAACCAGAAAGCGTAGGACTTTTATTAGACCCGACTCATATCTAGTAAGGACCACGAATAGGCTATTAAAACCAAAAACGGCTAATGGAAAAACTGGTATAAATATTATTTAAGTAAATCGGTTCGAGGACCCACCAAAGAAGCACCAAAGAGGACCAGATTGAAGTAAAAAAAATCGAATCACATAGGAGGGAAACTCAAATTTCCCCAATTGCAAATAAGGAACAATTGCCGGGTAAGCTGTAATATAAATTAATAAATTCAAGAAGATAAAATACTACCCTTAGATCACATACTCAATGTCATTTCACAGGTATCATTATCCTTGATATAGCAATCGAAGATATATTGAAAGTATGGTCGTACACAATAGTATAGAACCGGCATGCAAACGATCTTAAAGAAGAACATGACCTGACGATCGATGATCATCCAATTGGTAAGCAAAATCAAACTAACTGAGCTCAGAAGTTCCTTTTTTTTCGGCAATTCTTTTTTAAAAATTTTCAAAACATTTTAAAGCATATATCATTGATTGTACTGTCTTACCCAATCTAAAAAGCCCCAGCAACTTCAATACCTCTCCTGTCTCTGTTGAAAACACTAAATGAGAACACGACTCAACTTGGTTCTGAAAGTGAAACATCTTAACCACTCCAACGCTCAATTGAAAGGTAAGTAGAACCGCCTAGTGGAAAATATAAAGGAAGAGGTACGTAGATTAAGAATATGCCACTCATACCTCAACGTAGGTCTCGAAAGAGATCATATAGTTTTCCATGATGAAGGCGACGAGACTGTAGATGATACTCAAATTAACAATCAGTACTCC